ACCTTTTTGCATATTTGACCGGACACTGACCACTGTGGTGAGTTACTTGCAGTTAATATTTTCAGAGACATTGTCATCGGCAAACAAACCAGCGTTTTACAGGACAATTACTTCATTTTTGAATAGCCTACTGTATCTATCACTCATAAATCAGCCTTCAACTATCACGCGCATTTTTGTAAAGTCTAAACGACGACGATGCTTATACCGTGTACGATGCTTCTACCTATGTAGAGTGACCATATGGTCATTAATTACCTTTTTTGTATATACCTTGCATAACTGAATAAATGCGAATATGCTTACTCCATGTACATAACATTTACCAGATAGATGATAACTGTGAGCTGGTGTCTCACATGTACAAACAAAACAGGACGCATTACTACTATTATCTGTTTTTAAACAGTGTGTTGTAGCCCCTGTAGAGTGCTGGTAACGCCGTAGATGAGCTAAACTATGCCAGCTTTATGATAATAATATATATTTCGTATAAACGGGTGAGCTTACATGAAATGCATGCCATTTTTACAGGCATGATCAATTTTGTTACAAATTACAATCGTGAATTAGCATAGATTATCACTTTTTTAAAAGTTCATATTGTTGAATTATAGTGCAAGCAATCGGAACAGATTCTTACAAATGTTAATTTGTAAACCTTTCACTAAGGTCACCATCAAAGTTGAGTGACAACCCAAACTTCGTTCCATTTCCTGATGATAGTTATGTCCAACCGATAAGCAACATATATTTGAGTGAGTGCTATGCCCTCACGTGATTGAACGCTATTTAAGGAAGAGAAGAGAACACTGTGCGGCTGCAAAATGGTATAAAATGCATTTATGAATAATAACTAAATGAAGTTTGTCTGGTTTCCGATAAATCAGTAATCTACCTACCTTGTTACTACTGATGATAAGAAGCAAATTAAAAGGACTCCGATAAATAGTAACGTGCTCTATTGAGCGATATATTTGGATATAATAAGAAGTCGAGGTAATTCTGGAGAGCTGTACAAGCGACTCAAGGAATTTAACTGTCTAGTACATAAGTAGAGATCGCGAAAATGGTTTGGAGCCAGTCTGTACGTTTATAGGCTAATACAAGTCTTGAACATTAGAAAGTACACTACACCCTGTGCGGGCATTCTCCCACAACTCATGGAGTCAGGAAAGTTGCCAAATAAGTGGAAGACAGCCATCCTTTCTCCCACCTTCATGACTGAGAGGTGGTCAAATTACATGATTTGTAGACCAGTAGCAACACTCCCAAATGCAGCAAATGTACTAGAAAACCTGATTGATGATCACACAATTCAACACCTCGACAAGAAGAATAGATACCATGAAGCGCAACATGCTTTCAGGATAAGTAGATCCCGTGTGACAAACCCACTATCAGGTGGAATGATTGGACATAATGCAGGGATATGTCTCAGGCTACGTGATCTTCTTCGACTTTCAGAAGACATATGGCATAGTTCATCATAATCTCCCACACACAATAAGTCAGGCAGGCATATGTGCGGCACTTCTATCATGGATAGAAGACTTCCCAGACGAAGGGAGATTCTGCACAAGATCAATCCTCTCCGATTATACTGAGAAAGTTAGTCATTAGGTATGTGGCAACGTAGTATCCTACGATCCTTGGTGGCTATGATTTTGATTAATGATCTACCAGGCGGTTGAAGGATGTATTCTGGATAGATTCTTGCCGATTTTTGGAATATTGTAGTGGGTATTTCACGACTTCACAGTTATAACTTATACTGGATGCTACATCGTCTTCCAAATATCCACATGTTTCACTACAATTTATCAGTTTTGGCATTACTTTTTCTCAGGGTTCATCCTCCTTCTTACAACTAGACAACAATCTAGCACAAAAGGAGACTATATAGAAGTTCATTATTTTGTGGTTTGTATATCAGGATCAGTTCGTAGGATAATTGGTTTGTACATAGTCTGTATTTCACAGTCTAATACCCTTGTCCATTAGTTGTATATGTATAGGCAATAAAATTACACGCCGTGCCTGTAGTGGTTCTTAGACAGTATATCCACCCGACATATCATTTGCGCATATACCTGTTTTCCTTTTCGCTCAGCTTCCACCTGAAAGCGTACTGATCAGTGCGCAACAATAGCACAACGTAATAAACAAGTACTTTCCACACGTAAGAATAGCTTAGGTCACTGGGCTAAGAAGATACGTACATCACCCGACGTTCCACGTAGCCCCAGCAATGTCCCCGAAGGCATTGTACCCGACTTGCTATCAGAGGTATACGGAACTGCCAACCAAAATAAGTTTCACCTTATTTCTCCAGAGAATTCTGTGAGGGAATTCAACGAGAAAATAAATATTACCGTTACTGCTTCTTTGTAACCCAACTCGCGATAACAAACCGCATGTCTGCTGAAGTCTGAGCGTTTGTTACCCTTTGTAGCGAATGAAGTTACTGAACGAATCATGTCCCCCTACAACGTTCTTACGTATAATGTCGCTGAGCAAAGTCAAAGTGACATGTCTCCAAGAGTGCGGCATGTCATCAGCAAATTGCCACCTAACATCAGTAATAATAAGTGTGAGTGTAGTAGTTGGAGTAGTCAGGAGAGTTAGACGGGAGAGAATGCAAAGAAGTAAAACGACGAGTTCAGATGCCTAGCTATCAGTAGTGTAAGAGATTTAAGGGGGTGGGCGGTTGTATGCAGTGTTTGTGTCGCTACATGATTGTCCAGCCTTCGCTTAAAGCTGCCCACAGTCAGTGCCGGTAAGGAGTTCCAGGGATGGCAAAATAGCAGTTGAAAGAAATTGGAGTGTACTTTAATTTTTACCTTCAAGTGAGCTATCTTTCTGGAATTTTCATGGGAAAGCCCATATGTACATAATCACAGAACACCTTTGTCTGGGTGATTCTGGTCATTTGTAATCTTAAAGACAATAATCAAGTCCCCCCCTAAGCCGACAGTATCTAAGTGTGAATAGGCCTAATTTCTTTAGCCGTTCATTATGCTGTTTGTTTAGGAGAAACATCGCATTTTTGTTCGCTCGTCTTTTGACGTTTTACAAAAGGTTAACGTCTCTTCTAAGCGGTGGTGGACCAATAATATTGTACACTTCAAGGTGTGGTCTGACGTATGTTTTTTACACCCTTAGAAAGAACTCAGAAGCTAGTGCATCTAACTGTCTATATGTAAGGTGCATGACCACATATGCCCTCGCCACATTCCCGGTTTCATTCACGCTTGTGTTCATTTTTTCTATCAGAACTAGATCTAAGTCACGGTCTGACGTTGCGCAGGATAAGCTTCCGTTGCACAGGGTGTAACTTTCAGTCTGTAGTTCACAGGTGCGTAATGTCACTCCTTTGCACTTTTTCAGGTTGAAGGTCCTACCACTAACCGCCTCCCAGTCTTCCAGAAGCTTTAGGTCTGCCTGCAGCCTATCTGATTCTTCCAATCACTTTATTGCTCTCCGAATGCTTACGTCGTCAGCGCAAAAGAAGAGTATGACAGCTTAGGCGGCCTGGTAGGTCAGTGATCTACAGGAGTAAGACAAGGTCGCCTACTGTTACCGATGATGTTCCGAATCGTGGTCAACTGGATTTCGAGTCAGACTGTAGGGAGGGAATAAGCAGAAGTACTTTTGACTTATAAGAAGACTGTGAAAGATTTGGATTTCACGTGTGGATGATTTATGTTTGATGTCACACAAACTCGAAACTTGCAGACGAAAACCAGTAAACTAACTGAAGAGGCTGGCAGCGAAGACAGGACTGACTCCAGGCGAACACAGAGAAGGTGCAGAAGGAAGTGATGAATAAAACCAACCAACAGAGACAACAACCAGTACCAATGACTGTCAATGGGAGAAACTTGAAAGCGGTTACTTTTTCACTTATCTAGGAAGCAATGTTTCGAACGCAGACGGGAAGGATGAAGATGTCAAAACAAGAACTGGAAAGGCAAGATACACCACCAATTTGAAATCAGTTTTGAAATCTTCTGCACTCCACGACATTAAGAATAAGAATCGAATTTTCGCCACCAATGTCAAGTGAGTTCTATACGAGTCAGAAACTTAGCATGTAAGGCAAAGGATTTCCGACAGGCTGCAAACTTTTATCAACAGCTGCCTTCGCTCCATAGTGAATATCAAATGGCCAGCCAGAAAGAATTAGCAACAAGAAACTCTGGTGATGGACGAACTAACCAAGAGCCAATCGCTGAACAGATATGTAGGAAAAAAAAATGGAGATGGGCTGAGCGTATGCTGAGGAGGCCGTCGAGTGACATCGCGCTCCAGGCCATTGTTCGAGTTGAATCCCAATTGGAAACGACGAGTGGGTCGTCGGAGAGTGACGTGAAGGGGATTGTGTGAGGAGGAGATGAGAGAATACGGTCAACTGTGGACCTAGCTGAATAGAACAGCAGAATACAAGACTAAGTGGAGGTGTGTTGTTGAAGCCCTATGTTCCACTTGGAACCTAAGGGAATAATAATATATAATAAAAAGTGAAGGTACGGAACTTTGCTGCAGATAGAACGAGTGTTTGTGAGAGAAAGAATAAGAGACCTTCGATTGGTGGCACGGGGCTGAGGCAAAATGAAGGAGATGATGGTTTGATTCTGTGAAGCCCTCTGTTCCACTCGGAACCCAAGGGAATAATAATAATGATTTGCACTATTTTATAGCTATCGTTATTATCTCTCCTTCATACCATACCGGACGACTGGCAGGTGAAAGGATCAACTCCATTCACAGTAACGACACGGTATCGACATACCGTATACATAAACAACAAATGATCAATCCCAGTACTACTCCTCTTATAGTCTATCAAAGCTATTTCATTTGAATGGCTGGATGAACTACGCTGAAGTTTTGCCGGATATCTTAAAACCAAGAGGCAAGCACAAAGAAATCAAATTGGTTTGCACTGGCTCGTAAAACGGATACTGGTTGGGCGCGCGTACTTTTGAGTTGGAGCTATGCGTATCTCAGGTGTACTGCGGAGGCAGGTGTTATCATATATGGAGTTGGTGGGTTGTAATTAAATAGTAGTAGTTGCCTTACACACCTTAAATATACTTGGTCTCTCTCATTATACAAGCTTTTTTTATTTCGTACGTTCCCATTATTACCGAATGAATTTTAATACGTACGTAGTGTTAACACTATAGTGCTAATAATGTTCCTCTTCGGTTAATCTATATAACCACAATTTAGTGTTTAAAGATTGTAGGTTAAGTTGTTAGTGCAAAAACACATGGTCCGGAAATTCTTTTCGACCATAATTTGTTTTTGCTGTTGAGGTAGTTCTAATGAGCTATCCCCAACAGTGTCTTTTGACTGTTTTACGATGCAGCTTCATCATTTGTTTTCTCAAACTTACTTCAAACTCTGCGCCAAGGCTCAATATTACTCACCTTATTATACTACTTATCACGGGAGATGGGACACATGCGTGTCTGCAGACACCAATGATCAAAGACAACTAGCCTTGTTGTCTTCCACTGTCATTAGTAATGCTTTACAGCCATCAAAGAGGACGCAGCGGTACACACGTCCTTTGATCGATAACCGGGTACCACGTATATTTCAGAGGTGATGCAGGTTGCCAAGTGTTACACGAGACTTTCGTATCCGTGCTGAGACTTTTCCAGATTTAGATTATAAGGATAGAAGGCTCTTGTTGCCTATGTTAATCCTCGCGATATATATCTCTGCAGAGATCCAGTTTCTCTTTGAAAGTGTTCACCGATGGAGCTGTTACTACTGAATCAGATAAGGAGTTCCCGTCGTTGACCACTCTGTGAGAGAATCTAAACTCCAAACTTATTTTACTCGATCTCGGTCTGAGCACCTTCCTCTGGTGACCCCGTAAATGTATCCTAGAGGAAGAGAAAAGGTTTGAAAGGTCAATCCCTTAATCACCCTTGAATATACGGTAAGCCAAAATTATGTCGCCCCTCCTCCTTCGGTATGATAATGGGGAGAAATTTAAATGCTCCATCCTCATGTCATAAGAAAGCTGTGAGATACCACTAACTAATTTCGTTCCTACCCTCTGTACTCTTTTCGGGGTATGTGCCTCCTTTTTGAAACATAGACTTGCCGCTTGTTTGCAGTACTCTAGATGACGTCTGACATGTTGCATAGACTACCTGGAACACACCCTCGTCTAATCGTATATCTTTAGCTGTTTCAACTTCCCAAACAAGTGAAGTGGTAAGCATACTCTACCGCTTCCTTTACGCTAGGAATCGACGTAGTCCAGTCCTGTAGCGTCATCATACATTTGACGGGCAAATCGCATTCCAAACATAAGTTTGCTGCTCAAGTTGTTCAGAAGAATCGACATTTTGTCAACATCACCTGAAACAACTATATCATCCGCATATTCTAGGTCAACAAGATTATTGCCCGGTAACAACTCAATCTCTGAGTCACCGAAGTCAGTTGAGAATGCTGAGAACCCTATTAAATGCTTTTATGACCTACCGTGCTAGATCTAATGATGTAGGCTACAGAGATTTATGGTCATATGATTTTTAAAACAAAAATTAGACGAAAACATCACATACTTCGTGTGTTATCGGCACCAAGATATCCATCACACAAAAATAAAACAAAATAATTGGGGAAAGTAGGGTTAAAACAAATAAGAATTGTTATGCAGGAAGCAAGTAAACACACTTGTCACGATAATTCATCATTCATTACTTCATGGTACTCTCAGAAAGAGAAGAGAAGGAAGTTCCACCGTGTTCGCCATTGATTACGATTCTCTGCCATAACTGTCAACGTATCTAACCATCGAGTCGAATTATCTCTCGAACACCACCCAGGGAATCATTATTTACCAAAGGATATCAGCCTTACACAAACATCATCTCATGGCACCACTTTATTTCTAGTTTGACCACCTGTCCTCTCTTTCTATCCAGTCCCAAGGCTAGCAAACAGCGACGGGTATGGAAGCTTCTGGGATGAAATTCGTAACACATGCTCAAGCCACTGAAGCCGGTGTTTCAGACGACTACACCCAATGGAAAATGACCTTCCCTGTGACCAAACACGCTGCTGCACCTCAGAACTACTTGCACGATGGTGCCATCGGCTAGAAGCAGTTTTGCGGGGATAGTGACGATCAAATACTCAAAGTCGCCGCACATCATCAGATCAGAAAGGTCAGGTTTCACAGGTGCAGAGCAAGACTGCGCGCACTGAAGCATTGTAAGCTAACCTTTTACAGTCAGACTGGCGGCGCCAGAGGTGGTCCAAATAGTCTCATGCCGCTCTAGCTTTCACTACACGGTTAGAAATTTCGTCCTCTACACCTTCAGCACTAAACTGATAGATAGTTATCCATGAGTATTTTGTTATCTGAAACAACTTGTGCATAACCAACTTTGTACTGCCTTTTTGAGATAATGCTTATCTATTCGCTTGTGCGTACTTTCCTTTTCGGTAGTGAAGCCTAGATGAATTGCCAAATATCTTGGAAAATCTCAGACAGTTCTGTTTCCATACTGGTGATGGCTTATGTAAAGCGCCTACCATACGACAATGAACTTCGCTCGGCTTGTGCTCTGTAAAGTTACCATAGAGCTATTAAGAGTGATTTTATCCACACTTTCTATTAATTTAAAGCTGATACTGTTAGTGTCATGACTATCTGAGCTTTGGTTGTTGTTTCTCAGTGATGCAGAATCTTTGGTAAGATTTTGTACTATTTTACGTACTGTCCTCACCTTGTGATGTAGAATTTTTACACACTACATTTATATGGGGGTTACAACAACTCGTGTGGTGCAGGAGTCATACTGGCGTATGAAATTCGGTCACACTTGTCACACTCGACACCATATTTCACAGTGAAATGGCATTTAAGCTTTCTATAGTGGCTTTTCTTAACAATTATTTTTGGTAGTCAAACATATCTAGATAGTTCTTACGAAACACTAAAGGGTATCGATAAATGGAGTCACCGAGAAACGCAATCAGGATAAAGTTATACAAAAATTGTGAAAAAACCTCTTTAAAAGTGCGTGTATGTAACTTGAGTTCTGGCCAGAATAAGCTCTTCCTAAAAACTTATTAAAATTTATTGTTGACTAATCTGAGTAGAGATGACAACGATTGGACCAAGGGTTTGTACTAACCTTTACATCTTCAATCTGTACATTTTTCAGTGTTTTATACTCGGACTATAATTGTGACATAAAATCTTTCTTAAGAACTTTACTACTTTAAGTTAGTTTCCTCTCTAATATTAATTCTGTGCTTGTTTGCAATTGACACGATTACAGTTAATCAATTACCGTAATGTATTTTTGTCTGATGAAGTCTATGAAATCTCTTGTCAAAGTATAAGACCCCACGTCATTTTAAAATTTCTCATAGTGTGAGTTTGCATCTAATTCGCTGTGTTCACATGGTTATCATTAACTTTTTCTCAGTCTAATCGTCTTTAGGTAATTTTAACTCTTCACTTTGATTCATAACATCTTGTCGTTTTTATTTCTTGTTTCCAAATAAATTTTATAGCAGCAGTACGTCACTGCATGTTATTGGGCTGACAAACTTGTTTGCTTAGAAAAATGTATGAACGAATTCAAATTTCGTTAAACAAGCTTGTTTAGATCGTCCGGAAGATGTTTTACTATACGCCAAAGCGTTATACCACAGCCGACAATACCATCGTGCAATTGTTTTAATTCAAAATTGCAAGGATTTAAAAGTAAATTGAGTGTAATGGTTTCACCGTATATTTTTAAAAATTCAGCGATCACTTATTTGTCGTTATTTCATTGCCCAATGTTATTACGCTTGTTCAGAGTATAACAAGGCTTTGGAAATACTTGAACAACCTGATAACTCTACTAATATTAGTTCATTGGCTGCGTGTTCATTGTCGAAACAACTATTCACACAATTACACGGTGAAAATGTTGACAATGAAACTTCATCAAAACAGCTGAATAATGTTGAATCTGATGAATTAATCAATGAATTTACTTCAGAACATGTATATTTCAGTTTATTGTATTGTATATCTAATCTCTTTAAAATGTTTTCTAGCTTCAAAGTAGCATAGCATTATTAAAAGGAAAATTGTATGAATTAATGGACAATAGATCATTAGCAATACAATTTTATAAAGAAGCTTTACTTCTTGATGTAACATGTTATGAAGCTTTTGAAAAATTAGTACACCTTCAGTCAATTAGCTCAGAGGAAGGTGAATTGTAATATTTATAATAATCATTATCACTACATTTTGAAATAGAGTCTCTGTTATTAAGTGAATTAAACTTTGTTGAACACCTTAATCCACTGATGGGTAAATTAACTGAATTCCTCTATAAGGATAAATTGAATAAGGTAAATACCTATAATTATTTTCTTTTTCTTGGTAAAAATGAAGAGTTCAGTTTCAGAAGATAAAATACCTGATGAATTTGCTTCTTTAAACGACAATGTTGATATTATAGTTAACAAAGCTGGACGTATGTTGGATATGTGCAGATTTTACGAGTGTTATAATATTACTTCAAGGTAGGAGATCGAGCTTTTTTAATTTGTGTATACTTATTTTATATTTTGTTTTATAGACTAATGCGATCAGATCCATATAATCTTGCATGTCTACCAATTCATATATCTGTTTTAAAGGAGTTGGAGAAATCCAATGGTATATTTATAAATTATTTTAGTTTCTAATAGTGATTCACTTAAAGAACTCTTTAAAATATCTCATGAGCTTATGGATGTGTATCCCACCAGCGCAGTAAGTTTCGTATTTGTCTACTTCCATATTTCACTACAGCTTGCATGGTTTTCAGTTGGTTGTTACTATCTAAGCATTAATAAGAATGAACTTGCCAGACGACATCTTGTGTAAGTCCATTCATTCTCACTATTTTGTGAAATAGTTTAAATGTGTTTTTACCCATTATTATCAGTTTGTTGTTAATATTTTAAGTTTGAGTTGATTTCGTATAATTTTTCCCCTAGTGAAGTTGAGTAAAGCTATGAACAGTTAGTTGAGTGGAACAATTTGATATTACTTCTTAATTCATCAGTTCTACATACAATCGAAAACCAACAAAATAATAAAATACACACAATTTACAACTACTGTAATTAGTTTGATACAGAAATTCCCAGCTTGATGACAAGGTAACATTGGGGGCCAGAATAATTTAGTGAATGGTTTAACTGAAGCCTTTAAGAGCTCCTCATATATGATGAGAAACCGAAAGAATGTTATATGAATAAGGATGAAAGCTGGACAGCATCTACAACCAATTGTATAGACAAATGAAGGAGTGAGAACTAACCATATCTTGTAGAATTCCATGTTCTGATGGACATTACTGATTATCTCACATTCCTACGCCAAAGAAAATCTTCAAAGTAAAGGCCTAAAGGAATAGTTCTTGAATTTTTCCATTATCACTCTGTTTTAACACTTAAGTGTTATGATCATTTTGAATGTTATTTCACAATGCCGTTGATTAGTGCTTATTTTTCTTGATGTCTTTAGTCAGTTCTCAATCAATAAGCAACAAATATTTTTATTCGTCTATACACTTGGTTGTAGATGCTGTCCAGCTTTCATCCCTATTCGTAGAACATTCTTTCGGTTTCTCATCATATGTAAGGAGCTTTTAAAGGCTTCAGTTAAACCATTCACTAAATTATTCTGGCTCCCAATGTTACCTAATATATGGAAACTTTTCAAAGAAATTACTGGTGGTAAGCAGATGAACAGTATTCCTTATTCCTTTGATGTGTGTACACTAAACAAGTCTTTCATACATTCTCCCACAAATTCCAAACTCTCTAGTGTTACAAGTATTAATGAAACCCGCTTCCCTGGATTTACTACAAATGATGTTCTAAAATGTCTCCAGTGTATGAACCCTTCTTGTAGCCTGGGTCCGGATGGTTTGCCTAGTGTTATTCTTAAAAAGTGTGCAGATATCCTGTGCTATCCTCTCATGGACATATTTGACGAATCTTTTTCCAAAAATGTCGTACCAGCCGTTTGGAAGGACATTAAAATTGTACCTATTCCTAAGTCGTCTACTGCGACATGTTTTAAATTTAGACCCATTGCTATTACTTCCCCTTTTCTGAAAGCTATGGAAACGTTGCTCTTACTTAATCTTCAATCTTCACTTAAAGCCTTTAACAATCCCAAACAATTCGCCTACAAACACAGTAGAAGTACTTTAGATGCAGCTGCAGTCTTGTATCATAACATTGTCTCCAGCTTAGACAAGGGGCCTAAATTTGTTCGCTGCACCTTTCTAGATTATACATCTACTTTCGACTCAGTACCTAGGGACATTTTACTAAACAAGCTTGCTGAAACTCAAACTGACTGTTGGGTTGTCAAATGGCTCCATTCTTTTTTCAGGAAGAAAGCAATACACTGTATGTCAGGGAAAGTCGTCCACTTCATTGTTTACTGAGGCTGGTGTCCCTCAAGGCGCTGTCCTTTCTCCTTTTCTGTTTTCTTTCTTCTTGCGTGACTTGCCTCACTCCGATAAAATGAACTTTGTTAAGTATGCCGATGATCTAACTATTTCAATTTCTGTTAACTCTCAGCTTGACTGCATTAAGATTAACAACTTTCTATCAGGAATTAACAAATGGTCTTCGTCTAACGGCCTTAAACTTAATTCCTTCCAAATGTCAGACTTTTAATTTCAGTTTCCGATGTAAACGAAAGTTAAATGAAGCCGTTGGTTCCTATGACCCTTGCAAAATCGATGATACTGATATAGAAACCAAGTCTGAAGTTAAGTATCTTGGTTTAATTCTCTCTTCTGACCTATCCTGGTCCTCCCATGTCTTAGCGATTTCTAAAAGAATATTTCGTTTGACTTTTTACATTAGGAAGTTAGGGCATTCAGGCATAACTCAACCACTCCTCTTACAGTTTATCAACTCGTGTATTTTACCTATTCTTCTTTACTGTTCACCCTTATTCTTTCCTGGATTGCCTAAAAAGGACTATGTCATACTTCGTAGAACTCTGAAGACTGTCAGTAGGACGAGTGGTGTCCCATTGGGCCATATCGTTGACATTGTCACTGATAGGCACTTGATATCATGCAAAAAATTCGCTAGAGGAATTTTGTCAGACTCTGAGCACCCACTCTACCCGCAGCTCCAACCTTTGTCTCCTCAGGTAAAACAAGAAGTCTTTTCAGAAGAATTTATGCATGTACGTCTAAGTATAAAAATTCCACTATACCATATTTAGCACGTACTTTATGTGATGAAAATAGTGTTAGGCATGAACTAACTAACCTTCTTAGCACTAGTAAATAAACCATTTCCTTTACCCTTAAAGCATCATTCTTTATTGTTATTGTAGTTCTTATATTTATAATCCTCTTAATTTTTTCGTTTTGTTTATTTTTTTCATAAGTGTTGACATAATTTTAAGCTGTATTATAACTGTTAATTTTGTATTTCCCCTCACTAGACTATATCAACAGAACATTAGACCCAATAATCTATAACATGCTAAAGTTCCCAAACTGAATCGCCAATACCGTTTGAAACAAACTCACTGTTATTATTATTATTATATCTAATAATTATGTCGTAAATGTGGACAAATTCCTCCGATTAATTTTGTTTGAATTTTATATATATTTTGAGTAAATCAGATGCAATATTGGGACAATTGCTGAGAATTCCATTCTGTATTATAAGTACTGTTTTTGGAATAAAGTAAATTATTATTATTACCTTGTCATCAAGCTGGGAATTTCTGTATCAAACTAATTACAGTAGGTGTAAATTGTGTGTATTTTATTATTTTGTTGGTTTTCGATTGTATGTAGAACCGATGAATTAAGAAGTAATATCAAATTGTTCCACTCAACTAACTGTTCATAGCTTTTTCAGATCTAAGGTAATTACTTTAATTTTAGTTATCACAGTTGTTCATTGTACATCTTATTTAAAATTTTATTCTTAGAAAAGCTTCACAATTAGATAGAAGGTATGGTCCTGTATGGCTTACACTTGGACATGCATTTGCTGCAGATGGTGAGCATGATCAGGCTATTTCTTCCTACTGCACAGCTGCTCAAGTTATTCGAGGGTAGGTTCACATTAAAAACTTGTTGCTCTTTCACTAAATACAGCACATATTTACTCTATTGTTGAAATGTCATCCCAAGTGCCTGAAAATGTGGACTGGAAGATATTTTGGCATTTATTATAAGAGTGACTCAAGAATCTTGACATGATGTAGCTTACATTATAGTTGATCAGTCCTTGACTTTTTCGATTGTTTCAGACTAAATTACTTTCTTAGCTGCAAACATTTGTTGCCACGGTTAATCTGAGCGTTACACTGATTCTTCTTCGTATTTGTGGTCGAATTATTTATCTGTTGTATGTGCTGTATCATACGATGACTTATTTTTTATAATCCTCTCTGTAATATATCATGGGTAAAATTACAAGGAGGTAAAGAAATCAAACAGCAGCTTATAATTCATTATCTTGTTCTAAGTGTTATAATAACACATTCGTATTTATTTTGTTTGCTATCGATATTTTTTATGAAGATTATCTCACGAAAAACTATCCTCAAAAGAGAAGTACTTAGAACACTAATCGAACTCATCAATACGTAAACATTCATGTGTTTGATCAAGAGAGGAAATCTGACTTATTCCTTTTCTGATAGGAGAAAATCAGGACCACATTGCGAGAGTCATTTGTCCTTGTAGATTTTATAATATACACAAGTGAATAATTTTCAATCCTTTAGATTTTAAGTAGAATGCAGTTACACTCTGAAATACATTTCCACATCTTGCTGAGCATTGCATTATAAAAACAAGTGTATATTTCCATGTCTCGTCCTTAGACTTTAGGTTAATTCCTCTGGAATTTGATTAATAGCGTCACAAAGTAAGGAAAATTGTCTTATTTAATTTTCAAAAGAATAGACAGGGAACAAAGAGAACTCTTTTCGATAAATTCATCATCAGGTTCTACAATTATATATACATTATAATGAATGAATGAATTAGTCTTATGAACGACATTAATGTTTAAATAACATCAAATCAATAATATTGATAAATTACAGCTGAACAGCATCAACATAAAATAAACTGAATGTCAGAAGAATTAGGAAAGGTAATAGTACAAATTCATGCCCGTGTATACTGCTCAGCAGTTCACTCCGTCCTTCTCTATGGCGGTGAGACGTGGCCATTGAGAGCGGAAGACATGAAGAGATTGTCTGTTTTTGACCACAGATGTTTACGATCTCTTTCTCGCGTTAGGTGGTATAATAAGGTAAGTAATGTTGACGTTAGGCGTAGAGTGTTGGGCAAAGAGGGAAAATCACTCGAAGAGGCTATGAAGTTACATAGATTGAGATGGTTAGGCCACGTGCTGCGCATGCCTAACCATCGTCTCCCCCGACGGGCATTACTAGCTGATATAGGTTCAGGTTGGAAAAGAGTAAGTGGTGGCCAAACAAAAACATGGCATCAGTCCATGAAATCCTTGACAGTTAAACTGAGTCAGGTAGGGAGATGTAGACTTCCGGGTTGGGGCCCTCGGGACTCTAAGAATCACTGGCTGGAGACAATAGGTGACATGGCTCAAAATCGTTGTCAATGGCGCAGATGTATTCAGTCTCTTTAACCTTCATACTCCTTTCTACCATTACTCATTCTGTTTCACTCTTATACTTGTCAAAACTCTATTGATTCTCTTCATCGCTCATTTTCTTGTCTACCTTTGTGTGCTATTTGGAACGTGGCAACTCGAACTGCTGCACTTCGGTGCCAAGTTCTATGTTGAATCCAGACAGAGAGTACAAATTCATGAGTTTATAGTCTCTACTGAGGGCCAGGGCAGTAGTAGGGGCTGGACTTGTTTCTTAATTTTATTTCAAAAGTTGCTTGGTCTGCTTTTTGCACATCTTCCTCATGCCTTCTCACACGTGTTTTAATTGGGGAGTAAACTTTCCTCTACATGTAATTCATACTGATTCGAATGGTGTGTACACCTCTCTAACACAAGCATTTTCATACATTAGGTCCCTGTAATAATAATAATAATAATAATGTAACAAGACAAGGGCCAGGCAACAGATCGTTTATTAAGGAAAATCAACACATATTTATAGATTTTAATGTACATTATTGTAGATTATTGTTATTAGAAAATACAGTCTTTTGATTGGTTGTTTCTCACAGAAAGTTAACCTTGCATCTCTTTGTGGCTGTGTCAGATCATCCATATGCTAACTGTATCCGCCTACGCAAAGCCTTTGTTCTCATTTTCTCACCACCAATATTGGGGACATAAACATTGACGTCAATTACTGTCTACCAAATTTGGCTAGCAACCAGCTGTCACCACAATAATAATGAAAACGATATTTCACTTCACAGGCTTTCATCAGCTGCAGACTATATGGAATTACATTGATTATAAAAGAATGTAAATAACGTACTTTGAATGTTGGCATAATACTGCAGAAAAAGAAATAAATTAGGGAATCCGGAATGTAGAGTTTCACAGGACTATACATCAAAATTTATAATTCAAATAGTTGTCAGCTCACATGCCTTTCCAAATAGAAAGTTCAAGAAGTGCGAAATGAAGTGGAGGAAGAGGGGGTTAGACAGTAACAATAATATTTATCGTTGGCTTAAAGGATTGAGTAACAACCTGAGAAATTGTAGTTTTTAAGATCGAAAGTAATTTAGTGCACTGAAGTCAGTAAAGTAAAGGATTATACAATTAACTCCATAAAGGATTATCCTATTAAACAGAGGTTGAAAAGAAAAGACTGAAACTATGATACGTTAAAATGACTGTAAACGATAAATAGTCTGTGAAACTTCATTCAATAAATAATTATGAATGTGTATGTAATATACCTAACAAATAAATTACCAGAGAAATAAATTCAACTGATAAACACTTAATACGAGTGGCAGAGGGCAGCACGAAGTGAAAAACAACAAAAAGCTCAACAAAGACACCTTTTCTGCAATTTCATCATCTCAGTATAGGACAAAATGAGTTTTCAATACATTCTGATTACCTATACTCTTAAAACTGATATCAATGTGTGATAATAATTCCTTGGGACCTTTTATGAAGGTTATCTTTAATTGCTTGCATCTGTTGTGCCAAAGTTTGTAACACAATCTACATGTTTAAACTTCAGTATATAAAGCTAGGTTCGAGTTTGTTTACATGTAATGTTAACGCCTCATGCAAATGACTTAGGTAAATCTATGGAAATCTTAAGTATGCTTATTCATTTATCGTAAAATATTGAATCACTTAACATTATGGCTCTTATTTTCGTGCATTTTTTATTTTTTAATCAATAGCTCACATATTCCTATAATGTACATTGGTATAGAGTATAGTGCTAGTAATAATCGTAATCTGGCTGAACGATTTCTCAATGAAGCCTATCTGCTTAGTCCAACTGATCCATTTGTTTTACATGAATTAGGCACATTGGCGTTTGAATCACAAAAGTAAGTTGGATTTACATGTAAATTTATTGAATTTCGCTTTGATTATTAAATTGTTCTTTCCAAAAGGCAGATATGTCAATCACAATTGATATGAATATGAACAATAAATTTTGTTTGAAACGTCATCCAGTAAATAATACTGTTTCACTGTGTGATATATCTAATAAACAGACTAATATGGAATAGCTTATTAACAAGTTTTCAACAAAATAAATGACTGATTTCAACGTAGAACTTTGCATAGATGTGCACCAGTTCGAGTTGCCACACTCCATGTACCACACAAAGCAAGAGGAAAGACTAAAGAAAGACTGAAAAGCGAGGTAATAAACAGAAATGTGAGACAAGAAGAATAGTAATATGCAAGAACAATAGAATTTATTAGATATGATGAATCACAAAAAGACAGCAAGCCTTTTAGTATCTTCTACTTTCAATGGCCATGTCTCAGCCATTTAGGAGGACGGAGTGAACTGCTGAGCAATACACACGCCTTTCGGTCGATGGCCGGATATCGCGTCTACGCCAGAGATGATATTGACGGCTAATGCTAAATGAGCCTTTTGGATCCGTACTGAGAATTCGTCACCGATCAATCCGTTGATGCTGTTGCAACTCCGCAAATAAATGGAGTGGTCAACACGCTCTATCACTTCATTCCTTATTTCTAAGCTAGAAGTGAGTCGATGTAGTCCAGTCCTGTAGCATCATCTTACATTTGACTCTGCGTTTTATCAGTATCTTCACCCAGGAGGACTATATGATCCACATATTCTAAGTCAACGAGATTATTCCCTGGTAACTACTCAATACCTTAGTCACTGAAGTCAGCTGGAGTTAAGTATATCTCTGAAATTGAACAGAAATGGGCACGGTGAACATCCCTGATGGATACCAGTGGTTGTCACCACTTCAGATGACAACTCTCTGTAGGCTCTCACCTTGCTGACTACATGAGTTCGAGTAGAGTGCCTTGATCAGTGCGATGTACTTTCTCGGCATTCCTTTTACAGCCAAGCATCACCAGAGTACCTCTCGGTCGAAAGAACCGAATGCCACCTTTAAGTTAAAAAATATGACGATTGTTGGACGCCGGTAAGTATGCTTATGTTCCAGAATCTGTCGAAGAGTGAAGGCATGATCAATACACCTTCTTCCTGTGTAAAACCTGCCTAGTTCTCTCGTGTTTGTTCCTCCCGATCACCACTTAGTCTACGCATGATTATTGAGCCTAGAACTTCAGATACCATATTGGTCAAGCTGACCCTTCTGTGATTATCACAGGAAGACTTGTCTCCCTTCTTGTATATGGGGATAATCGAGGACTTACACCAGCTTGACGAGACTATCTCTGATTCCCAGTTATGCTAGTTACTGTTCGACAAGCGTATGATGAATGAATATTGCGTTTTACTATTTAAACATGTAGTCAAATCATATTGTTCATAGATGCATACAAACTTTCGCTCATAAACTCAAATAAATTTACTATAATGACAGTATACCATAGTTATTGACAACAAAATATTTCGATTTGTATGTAAATAAAAATAGTAAAATTGAATGTATTCCTTTTTACTATTCCAATATATGCTAACTAGCAGGGTGATGTTAAAAGACATATTGCTAAGTCATTCAAATGCATTAAATTAATTGCATCGAAATACTAGTTTATGCATAATCCTGTCTTTTGGATGACTTAACAGCATGTCTTGTACCGTCAGTCTAATTAGCACATGTTCTATTTTTTACGGGAGTAGTTGTTAAATGGCATAGATATAACATTTTAAGTAAGATTCAATCTATAAAGCAAAAAATAATTGAGCAAAGAATATCCTTTTCGATAATTTCCTCCTCTGGCTCTACAATAATATATATATATATATTCATATACATAGAATATTCTAGAATAGTAGTCAATAACAATATTGTACCGCTTCGACCAGTATTAGATATGTTAAATTCACCATACCATCCCGTAGCCAAATGGTTAGTCGAACTCTTACAGCCTCTTCATACCGAGTTAGTGAAACACAGTGTAAAGGATACTTTTGGATTTGTTGAAAGGATAAAAGATTTAAATGTTGACAACAGATTCATGATATCATTTGTCGTATCTTCCCTATTCACCAGTGTACCACTTATGGAAACAGTGGACTTTGTATGCGAAGGACTCATAAAACGAAACATCGATGTTGGCATTCTTATGTCTTTTATGAAAGAGCTTCTCGTGAAATGCACAATGAATATCCACTTTTTATTTAATAAGAAACTATATAGATAAATCGATGGTGTGGCAATGGGGTCACCACCACCTATTCTAGCCGACATTTTCCTTGCGAAACTAGAAAATGGGCCTTTGAAAGATGTTATTGATGAACTTGAATTCTATTTTTGGTGCATGGATAATACATTTTTGATTATGAAAAATGAGGAGGAAGCAAAGAACATCCTGGATAAATCTAACGAGGTTCATCCCTCAATAAATTCTACTATTGAGAAAGGAAAAGACTAGTATTTCATTTCTAGACGTTCTTATGACCAGAAAAGAGGATGGCACAATAAGAAGTGTATATGAAAAACCTACATCAACGGGTCAGTATACTCATTTTTTCAGCTTCGTGCTTGGTTCATAGAGCAACAGCAATCTGCTCGGATGAATATCTTGATGAGGAACTTAATATATTAAACGGTTGCTGAGTGAAAATGGTTATCCAGAAAAGTTTATCGATTAGAATATGAATCTAAAATCAAGGCAGCCGAAGGTACCAGCAGTTCCTAAAAAGGCCCTATTCTTACAATTGCAGTTTCTCGGGGAACAACATCAGCGAGATACTAACACAACGCCTTACTAATGCGATAAAAAATGCATTCCATGCTGCCGAATTACGCGGTGTCCTCAAAATCACTCCTCTTTTGCATTCGTGAGTAAAAGACAAACTGCCTAATTTCGCCTCTTTTATGTATTTCTTCCTATTTAACTGCTCTTGTGGAGCCAGTTACATAGGCCACCGCGTGTTTCTCCTCGGGTTTCCGAACATCATCTCCTGCGTGGTTAAGTGAAGGAGAAACAAAATCTATTCGTAGCGGTATTCTATCTTATCTCGTGGATGCAGAACACAAGATTGATGTTAACCAGGCTTTCAAAGTCATTTACCGCATACCAGCAAATTTTAACTTCACCTCAAGAGTTCGTCAACTAAATATTGCTGAGGCCGTTGGTATCCACATTAAGAAGCCTGATTTATTTGTCCAAACGAAGTTAGTTCAGACGTTATCCTTACCTTGGTCATCTAGGTTCGAATGATCCTCAACGTTTTATAGAAATTTCCTTAATTTTAGTTGATATTCTATTTGCTCCTATATCTTTGTTATTATTATAATTTAAGCATCTTTAATGAACTGTAACTCCATTGATCTTATTTTACAAATCGATATTATTTAAAAAACACTAATATTGTTATTGACTACTATTCTAGAATATTCTATGTATATAAACAAAATATAATTGTAGAGCCAGAAGAGGAAATTATCGAAAAGGATATTCTTTGCTCAATTATTTTGTGTTTTATCGATGTCTGAATGAATATTTTAGCTGTGTTAAAATTCAATCGACAAAATAGTATCTACCATGTAAACATTATATCCAAAATATGTACATATTAATGTACAATGACTTTTTATGCCAACAATCTAAACTGCTCATTTTCATTGGAATATATATATATATATATATATATACAGCAGGTTGAAGATGTGACAGTAACTCATCTAAGAAGACATTGCGAAATGGTCGCGCTATGTCGTGAATTGGAAGAAGTTAGAATTCAAGGACCATTGGATCGGGTCCCAGTGACTTAATAGTCTACGAACTCGCCTTGTAACCAGAAGGTCCTGGGTTCGAATCCCGGTGGGTGCGTACTACTGAAGGGTCCCAAACTAGGACGAAACAGCTGTCCAGTACTCCCAGGTTTTCCAGTGGTTCTCCAACTGATGACAGCTCATGATGAAATCCTCCATGCAATATTTATATATATATATATATATAATTTCTTTTTGTTCCCAGTGGAACATAGGGCTTCAAGCTAGAGCTAGAGCTTTGAAGTTTTGGTAGCGGTGGTGTTTATTTTCACGGGATAGGGTTACTGGCCTCATACCTAACCTTCCTTCTTTACCAGCCTTATTACTGGCTTAGTGAGGTGAAGGAGTGCGTCGGCCGGGGATAGAACCTCGAACCATCTGTGTGGGTTGGCTAGCATTCTACCGCTGTGTCACCGATGCACTTCATTGGGAAATAATTATGCTTTAAGAATGATTACTATGAGATGAAGTGATGTATTATGTTAGTGTATTCTGTACTATATTGTCTGACTGGTGGTACATGAGTATTTAAGATTTTGTAGCCAGATGTATGTAGGTCAAGTGAAGTACAGCCTTTCGCTGGCTTGATAGTAAGTACACTAATTGTGTATTCAGATTTACTCACCTCGAAGAACAGAATCCGTTGAAACCATCCCATTTTTAATCAGTCATTTGGGTGAAATGGTAGTTTGTGCATTCACTCAAATATTTTGTGATTGGAACCACGTAGACTGGTGATAAGCTTTATCCAAAATTAGCGAAATGGCCATTTGGTGTTTTGATCACTATGATTGGGTTCCCAGCTACTCATCTTTACATATAGTATGTTATATATCATTTTTGCTCACTTGCTTATTTTCATTCACCATGTAGACATTATTTTTATTATCGCGTAACATTGTTTAATGAATATGAGAGTTACAAATACTGTAAAACATCTGAAAAACTATATAAAGTTCTTATCAAACATTAAATGTGCATGTTGGAATGAGTAAAAACTTTGAATAAGTATGCCTATTACTTGTAAAATAATTGTCTATATGCAGTTCAACTAATTGGACTGGTAGTTTTAAGTATTAACTATGGTATTTATTTAAAACGGTAAGGAAAGAAAACTAGATCAGTCTAAAAATACGTGCTTTTTGGTGGTGGAAACAATTAGAAAGGAATTCGATTTGAAAGTTATTACTTATGTTGTGTCTCTTATCATTTATAGGTGTATTCTATTTCCACTAGTTGTCTATATAAGTACTCACCAGTGTATCTGTCTTCTTATCGAAGTAAAGGGTTCTGTGGAAATTCCACTAGGATTATTTTCACGTCATGCTCTTATTGTGAGGTTTTTTCCTAATATTTTCTGAAGCTTTTTATAATGTACATATTCTTTCACCCTCGCAATCTTTGCTGTCTTTGTGACTTAGCTTTTGAAATTCACTGAACACCGTACTGCCCTTTCCTTCTTGTCAGTTTTGTACTGCAGTTGATCAAAAGTCATACACTTACGTAAAGGTAAGGTGAGTGCTTTCCTGACTGATATCTGCTGCCTTGACGTAGTGGTCGGGTTCTCATATCGCAATCATTCAACGAGGTACACTAGCTGCAACGAATGTTCCTGCTGTTGGTACCAAGACAAAAAGGTCTGACTAAAGGCACTTTCCATCGTAGTGTAAGTCTCTCACAGTGTTGGGGGGCCTAGGGCGAAGTCATACTACTCAATCGAGAGAAATATAGGATACCAAATGATTAAGGTTCCCTACAGAAAAATTCAGAACAACATTTGTCATCGAACACTATCTTTTTCAACTAAATCTCATCTGACTTCACTCTGTTATACATAACTTTACAAATAAATATTAAATGTAAACAAATCATGGTTACTTGTCAATAGGATGAAAAGATTTCTCATATAAACTGTGCAGTTAGCCACAACAATAATAATTCTATTAATAATGGTGATGAAGTGGAACTATTTGCGATAGTAAGAATAGTGAAAAACTGCGTGATTATACAAAGCGAATGTTCAAATACATCTAGTAGATAAAGGCTTAGAAAGCAAATAATAAGATTACGTGGCGCTAAATTGTAAGGGAAGCAGATAAGTTAGGCTTCAATAAGAATGCAAAAAGACTAAGGTAGGGTTAATGAAAAATATTAAGAAATGGATACAAAATAATAGTCAGTGGTGGTGGTATAATTAATCTTCACACTCGTCAAAAGAGGAATAATGGTTGTGTGAACTTTGTCTGGGTGCATTGTGTAGGCTTATTAGTTCGAATGCCGATCACCTGAGCTATATGCATTAGATCAATAAGAAGGTCGTTGAAAAGATTATGAGTTCCGTTAAATCACTTTAAATGCAATCCTTTTGTCCACTGAATGGTCGCTATCAGAGCTATCGACACTAATTACCAGTAGATGGTGTTCTGTGACACGTTGGCTAATAACTGTCTAGCAGTACTCTCGACATAAATGTTTCTACAGGGGCAGTTGAATTGGTAAATACACTACACATAGGTGTAGAAAAAGAATCTTCGTTTGAGTCACAATCATTGGTCGATTAGAAAATGAGAAACACAGGTGTTCTTTGTATAATGTCCTTCTTGTAGTTCTGACTATCGGATATAAACTAATCACAAATAATAAAACGCTGTACGATAAAAGAAAGAACGATAGAGCGGATAAACTACATGGTTTCATAATTAAGAAGCAGAAAAAATATTGATGCATCTACACCATTATGGTTTTCAGTCACACACCTTGCCGTTTCTAACCGTAGGTTACAGCTGTCACGTAAATTCCAGCCAGGAAACACACTGTACAGAAGCTTCAACCTTATTCTACTTCGAAAAATGTGTCACGGCGAAATAGATGTTAGTGTTACATGTTGTTTTTCATGCATATGATTTCGCTAGATGTTTGTTCATTGTTCACAAATGTATCACTAGTAGACACTATCTGCTATCTATGCGAGTATATTGATTCGAATAGCATGAACATTGGCTTACCAACTGAATATCTTAAACAACTATTATTGAGATGCACACTGAATGTGCAATTTAGATTTAATGATGTCATCTACAATCAAAGGGATGGAGTCGCAATGGGGTCTCCTTTAGGACCGCTCTTAGCGGACGTCTTCTTCATGACCCACTAAAGGAAACCATCGATAGTTTGTTTATGTATAAAAGATATATAGATGATACCTTCATTGTATGTGATGAAAACTCTTCAACTGCCGAACTTCTTGGAATATTTAATGGTTCTCACCCATCTTTGCTTTTCACGGTCGAAGAAGAGTCGAATTCCTCATTTCACTTCCTTGATGTTAAGCTAGATAGAAGAGAGAATGGCACACTGTTAACGTCGATTTACCGAAAGCCAACATTCACTAGGCAGTATACTAACTTAAACAGTTGGGTTCCTTTAGGGAGAAAGAGAAATCTTATTCATTCCTTATGCTCCAGAATTCGTAAAATCTGCTATGCAGAGACAATCGATAGTGAACTAGATAACCTTCTATCAAATCTCCTTAACATTGGTTATCCTACAAGGTTTGTCGAACGTAACATCAAGAAAGAATCCGCCCCTAGACAAATTACAGTGCCAAAGAAAAAAACTTTATGAGTCTGGCATTCGAAGGTGACACCACTTCGGAATTGATTAAAAATCGTTTATCTAAATGTATTAAACGCACTTTTCCTGCAGCTGACTTGCAACTAGTTTTTACCAGCCGAAATATGATTAGACAATGCGTCAAGGATAGATTACCGCTTTTGTTCACATCTATGTGTATTTACTTCTTTGCCTGCTCTTGTGGAGCTGTTTATATTGGACGTTGTAAGCGTAATCTCTGAAAACGTGTAGCTGAACACTATCCGGTTTGGTTAATGAAAGGCGAACGTAGAACTGCGAAGTCGTCTATTGGTGATCACCCGTTAGAGTCAGGTCATTTAGCCCCACGTGACTCATCTTTCAAAGTTATCTACATAGCAAAATCGAATCAATCCAAAAGTTTACGTTTTCTTCACTTATGCATAGCCGAAGCTTTAGCTATACATGAACAGAAACCTAAAAAATGTGTTCAAAAACGTTTTGTCAGACCCCTTTCTTTACCTTGGTCATAGTAATGTTCTTTCTAGTTTTTTTTTCTCCTTCACGTTCCCCAGTGGAACATAGGGCTTCAAGCTAATGGCCTGAAGTTTCTGTAGCAGTGTTTATTTTACAGGATGGGGTTGCTGGCCTCATGCCCAACCTTTCCTCTTCACCAGCATTATTTCTGGCTCAGCGAGGTAAAGGAGTGCGTCGGCCGGGGATCGAACCCCGGACCATGTGCATGGTCGGCAAGCGTCCTAACCGCTATACCACCGACGTTTTGTCAGACCCCTTTCTTTACCTTGGTCATAGTGATGTTCTTTCTAGTTTTTAATTTATTTTATTTTACCACTTGAATTCTTTCCACTTCACTTCACATCTTCATTCTTATCGTAGTCGTACTCCTAATTTTTTAAAATTTTTAGACAACACTTCACATTTTTAAAACATTTTGATTTCAATTCACTTACAAAACAATCTTTAATAATTTTGTAATTTATCCACCTCAACTCTACCCTTATAACATTTTAATGGTCGCGCTATGTCGTGAATTGGAAGAAGTTAGAATTCAAGGACCGTTGGATCGGGTCCCAGTGACTTAATGGTCTACGAACTCGCCTTGTAACCAGAAGGTCCTGGGTTCGAATCCCGGTGGGTGCGTACTACTGAAGAGTCCCAAACTAGGACGAAACAGCTGTCCAGTACTCCCAGGTTTTCCAGTGGTTCTCCAACTGATGACAGCTCATGATGAAATCCTCCGCGCAATCAAGCATTTTAGTTATCGTTATTCTTATCACATATATGTATATTGACTGAGCCACTTAATAACCTTTTCTGTAATATAAATACGACTGTACAGCTTGAAAATGAAGTCGTTGAAAAGAAATTTCTCCGCTGAACAAAAAACTGTGTTTTTACTTAATCAAGAGATACAATTTCACCATCTCACTTATTCTCTTAACCTAACCCCCGTAAACTTCTCAAATGTGGATTTACCTGAATAACACAAAATTTGGTTTTACGTGAAGTGTATGGGTTATCTTCAAACTAGAAGGAAACATTTGTCTAGATATTATCCATAATGAAATCTATATTGCGTTAATTATTTTATAGTTCTAATGTTATATTTTGTCAGAGTGTTGCTTTAAATTGAAGTATTCAACTTCAGTAAATTAATGTGCTCGTCTTTTAAGCTTGTTAACTGCATTAGATTTTCCTTTTATTCTAAAGCTTTATTCAAATAATACTCGTAGTAGGCGTGTGCAATTTTGGTCAAAGGATTATATCGTGAGCTGATATTGGTTAGAGGACCATTGGAAAACCTGGGAGTAATGGACAACTCTTTCGTCCTAGTTTGGGACTCTTCATCAGTACGCACCCACCGGGATTCGAACCCAGGACCTTCTGGTTACAAGGCGAGTTCGTAGACCATTAAGTCACCGGGACCCGATCCAATGGCCCATGAATTCTAACTTCTGCCAGTTCACGACATAGCGCGACCTCTAACCAATGTCTTCGGCGAGTATTTGTCCTCACACCCGACCTGCTGCACCCTACTGGTCACGACTTCCCACTGGAACCCCAGGTAACTACCTACCTGAATAGGGTCAGTCGCCAGTGAGCATCTCATTGATATTCAAGTATTGGTTTGTAGGGATTTGATTGATTGGTTGCATGATTTCATCATGAGTTGACGTTGGTTAGAGAACCATTGGAAAACCTGGGAGTAAAAATTAACTGGCTGATGAAGAATGAGAATAATTTTTACTTCCAAATTGTAAAACAACTTTTAGGTATGTAGATGCTACAAGATTTTTGGTTCGAGCGTATGAAAAAGCCTGTGAATTAAGCGGACAAGTCCCGTCACCATTTTGGGAACCTTTGGTTAATAATCTTGCACATTCATATAGAAAAATGGGGTAAGTCAAGATATGTATTACTTTTCTGTTATATTGTAGAAATTAATTTTAATTTTTCTTTGCCTATATTGGTTTTTATGTTTGTAAATATTATTTTATAAAATTTGTTGTTTTATGTGGATGGTACCTTAGGTCTGTTTCATCTCATGTTCATGTTGATTTCGCTGGAACGTTTAATGATGCGTACTTTTTAATGTGCTGTTACACTTCCCAAATGGTCAGAAATTTTCTCTATGCATTCTGTAACATCGCATGCAACCCTAGCTAAGCCACATTGGTTATTCTATCGTTTTGGTATTCCTAATGTCACGGTATTCGACAGTGGGTCGCAGTTTACATCATCCGTATTCACATATTTCTGCAGTTAATTTGGCATCCAATGAATTCGTGCTCCTGCGTATCACTCCCACTTCTAATGATCAAGTTCGATGCTTAATCGACACCTTTACTTTAAATTCAAGCATTCAGGTTCAGTAAATTAATGTACTCTTTCGAGCTTGTTAACTGCATTAGATTTTCTTTTTCTCCTAAGGCTTTATTCAGTAATACTCTTAGCAGGCGTATTCAGTTTTGTTTATTTATTTTCATAAAGTCGAATGTGTGGGGGGGGGGGGACATATGAGAAGTCTCAGACAAATTTTACCTGGGCTATCATAAATTACCCGATCTTATAGTATGTGGAAGAATTGTGTGAAATTCGTATGTCTATTGATAATCCGACGGAACTAGTAAAGTGGTGTTTTTGTGATTTTAATGACTGAATTTATTGCAAAATTATGTATTCTGCTTATATGTCATGTAACTGCAAATAGTTTAATGACGTTAGTATACGCATTCGACTCTCTGTGGTGATTACAGAAATTGAAAGGCTATCCGGCTGATGTAATCATGGTTTGTGGACTTCATCTCACCAGGGTTTTGGCTCCGTGGATATCTATAACAATAGACACGCATTACTATGTTCCCGTGTGAACATGTGTGTTGCTATCTACTCATTAGCAAATACTTATTATTTAATTGAAAAATGCAGTTCAGAGGTTTTTTACTATTTTACCAGATGACAGTCTGAAATCGGAAACTACTTGCATGGATAAAATTATCTAAGCAGTGGATCAATATTCGAAACATTGAGACTGCTTGATTAGAAATCTCAGGATACAATGAAAGATTCACTCTTTCTGTATGGAATGTCATTTTAGTTTTTGAGAAGTTGCAGGAAAGTGGTTAAAGTAGCGAAAAATTGCATGAAAGACAATTTATTTCGACAAACACCGTTTTGTTGGAACTAAATTATTCAGACCATTCTACTTCTTACCACATTTCTCATCTTTGAAATTTTGTTGTGTAAGGTCAACTTTTGTTAACTCTGATGTTTTCGCATTCATGTTACCATAAGCACCGTTGGAGAAAAAGAATTATCTAGTTCACTTTCATTTTAACAACGAAGCGTATGGAGTGAAGAAAAACTGCTTACCACCACCAGTGGTCTTCCTGATTGCAACTGACGGTATTATGAAGCAGTCCATGGGGAGTGATAAGACAGGAATACGTTGGGTTGACTAAATTCCTGGAGGATCTGGATTTATCAGCTGATTTATCCGTCATTTCGCACAAACTCGAAGATTTAGTAGCGAAACCAATAAGTCGACAGGAGATGAACTCAAGATATGACTTCAGGTAAACAAAGAAAAGGTAGAGGTGCTGAAGAAACCCTACCAATAGAAACAAAAAGCAATCATCATTAACTGGCGAAATCTAAACGATATTGTCTCTTTCACTTGCCTCAACTAGGCGTCATTGTCTCACTTGTTGTCGCCACCGATAGTGATGTCAGAACCATCTAGGATCGAACCGGGAAATCCAGACAGACGTTCATTGCTCTGAAATTAGTGTGGAGATCTACAGAACTTGGCTGATATCAAGTTAGTTAGTGCTTCTATATGGTTCACAGACTTTGTGCATCATGGGAAGCATTCCCAGTAGGCTTCAGACTTTCACCAACAACTCTTCACCTAGTACTGAAGAGCAGATGGCCAGCTGGAATGTATAAGTAATAATAATAATAATAATAATAATAATAATTTGCTTTATTCCAAAACAGTACTTGTGATACAGAATGGAATTCTCAGCATTTTTTACTACAGTATTGCATCCAGTTAGTACATTATCAATAAATAGAATTCTACATAGATTGAGGAAACCACAGTTCATTATTACAACAATACATTGGCATGTCAGTAGCAAAGGTAAAGCTGAAACATTGTTTGAAGGTGTTTGAAAAGTGGGCGCTGTCTTATTAACAGGCGTAAGCGAGAGAAAGAGACAAAGCAGCACATAACGGAAAAAGAAGAGAGAGAAAAGGAAAAGAAAGAAAGAAAATGTTGTACCGATTGATGATGTGGGTTGGGAAGACGAGATCCAGTTGTACTATTGACTATATAATGAATTATAGGTGTCACGCCGGCCATTGGCAGATACTGAATCAATAAAAAAGCTATTGCCCAGCAAATAGAAGTGGATTGGATATAAATACACTGTGGAGGCCTTCAAGCGACAGCAAGGCCCACGAGTTAGAAGCGACTGGTTGAGTGTCTGAGGGTGATATGGAGGAAAATTTGTGCGAAGAAAATTTTTTTTTTGATTTACAGCTTGATTTCCACACCGTATTTTCAGTACAAGTGTGGAACTTTCAGCATGGATATCGGTTGCCCAAATTCAGGCATACCATAGATATCGGGTGTGCGCCGGCAGGGGTTCGAACCCCGGACCATGTGCATGGTCGGCGAGAGTCCTAACCACTGTGCCACCGAAGGCTTGTCAGCAATCTTGACGAGGGTTGAAATTGATATCAGAGAAGCCAGTGCATTGGAGGTGAACCTTGGAAGCAAGGAGTGAATGGTAATAATTGCTTTAACTAATCCGGTTGCAATTTGGTGTGATTTTGACTTATTTAAAATAAATTATAATCTCCATAAAGAGTGAAAAATAAATTGTTGCTTTCACTCACTTTTCCTGAGTGGGGTGTGCAGCTTCTGATATTATGAAATTTGGCTTCATATTCAACTGTAATGGTATCAATATAGCTTTTTTAGTAGTGACTGCCATACTTACTTCGTACCGTAGTTGAATTATAACGTAATTCCATTATCTGATGAAATAGTGTACTTTATAAATTCTCACTATAAGATCATGTATGCCTTCATTTAATCACAGACTTTACAATCAAGCCATAGCTATGCATGAGTTGGCACTTCGCCTCGTACCTGAGTCTCAGACAACACTTGCAAGTCTAGCTATGGTTCATGCCATCAGTGGTAACCTCGAGGTTGCGGTGGATTATCTCCATCGTTCTGTTGGAGTTCACTCGGGTAACTGTGGTTTAACTTCAAGTAATATAGCATCTACAATGCTGAATGTGTGTATTGAGGCATTAACGGGAAAAGGACCTTATGCTTCTGGTCAAAAAGTTGGAAGAGGTCAGTGGAAATTTATCTATCCATTTATTCTATTTCATGAGATGCATGATAAGTTTTGTTGCATATTTTCTCTGTAGCTTCTTGTTCTAAACGACTGAAAAAATTATCTTTCCATTAATTTTGTGGCACATATGCGTGAATTCTTGAGCGAAATATCACAAGTACCTACTGCATTCAGCACATAACCAATTAGTCGAATTACTAAAGTAAAACTTTGTGCAGAAGTGCACTGGTTTTATGTTGCAATGCTTCGGACTAACACACATAAAAGTGGAAATAAGAAATGTAATGAAACTAAAATGAAAGATGTGAGAGGAAGAGAATAATTGAGCGAAGACTGTGGAAGCGTTCTAGAATCTGCAGGATAAAAAGTAGTGAATACATCTGAAGTGCCATGAACAACTATGATTAATGTCATCGACCAGTGATTCTGACCAACACACTGGACATCTACACTCGTTTACGTGAAACAAACAATTCATGATACATTGCTGCTTTTTTCGGACTACCGCTAACTGTTCGAATATAGTCCTGTATAAGCTGGTATAATGCTTCATTATCACACTTAGCATTTCATAGTATCCTTCATCATGGTATATGAAGTTAATAAATAATAAAACTACTTCTTTTCATAGATAATAAAGATAACTTAGATTAGATGGTCCCTATCATGTTAATAGTTTCAGTATGTATCCATTTATTTTTAATCAAGAAAATAGAACTGTTGTAACTCGAGAGTGAGATGTTTTAGTTGTATCCAGTTAATTGTTATTCTGGAGAAATTCATCAGTGATGAACTACATCAATTCTTTCAATATGATACACCCCAATGTGTTACGCCTCGGCCGGATGGTTTCATATGCCCATTTTGGTTGAATCCTATCAAAGCCTGTTCCATTTGGTATGAGCCTTGCTAATCTGGTTTTAGTCATTTCTTATCAGGTTTGTCAAATACCACTTAACGAAGTTGCGATAAGAGCTGTTTTTCTCATAAGCGGGCGATAAGTAGATCTCTTCTTTCTTCTGTAATGTCAATCTACTACAGCTTGTATTTCCTCCGAAGAGTCCTTGTAAGCGCCTAAACTTCTTTAGAGGTTGGTGTATGGAGGATCTCACGGGTTTGAATTGCTTTCAATAAATCTAGTTTCAAAAAATGCACAACTAAATTGTTCAGCTAAAAAAGGAATACAACTAAATCATTTTTCAAATATAAGTGTTCTTTATCAGTTACTAAGCTTTGAACCATTATACTTTATACCACAGATACTCATTTCTCCATTATGAAACTGATCTGTATAGGATTTTTGTGCCTTTCTGGGTTCGAAGAAATAAATTCCCTCGATAACAGCTTTCTTTATAGAGGAAAGAACAAGAAGTTCAGTAAAGATACCTTTTCGACGATTTCATCCTCAAAGACTGTACAATTGCGTTTACATACATAAATTTACAGTCACAACTATTACTTAGTTCAACATAATAACAAGGGGAGAACAAAAATGATAATAATTTTAAACCTGATATGAAAGTTGGAAGGTGTGAATATAGATCACAAGAAGCATAGAAACAAGAGTACATACGATTAGAAAGTAGTTGCGTAATGTGTAAAATAGTTTTTATCAAGACACGCGTGAACGGTATGTGCACAGAAACGAATTGCAATTATTTTTTATAACAGAATGAAAAGACGTAGGGGAAGAAAAAACAAGCAAACGAGAACTGAGCTATCAAACATAACTAGATATATGATAAATGTAGGGATTGGACTAGTTTCTTTCGAACATACAATATCAATAATACAACTCCAGCCTTTTGATGCAGATGGTGGTAGCTCCTGCAGTACAGAAAAGTGGGAAACATACTGCCTCAGGTAGATTTTCATTCGCTAGCCTTCATATTTTGCTAGAATTAAAAATACTACCAATGAAGTATCTTCGTGGGCTAATCCATTCCCATGCTGACTAGCTATTATTATCTATTGATTTCCATCACACTCTTCTTATATACCTTCAAATTTTGATGTTATTATCAGTTAACTTCTACAGATGTGGCTTACTGCCTGATATCTGATTCCACTTACATCAGCCATGGCAGCTAGCAAGTTTGTTAAGTTCTCACACATAAGTTATGCTTCGTAGCACCTGCGCTGGGTTCCAGAATGTCACAATTGGTATGTAATTTGGCATACTAACCATAATTTCGCTTTGTTTTTGCTATTTTATCTCATGGTTTTTTCAAGATATTCTCAGTCAGGATATATGAATACTGTTTTTGTATCTTGTCTGTATGTATGTAGATATCCCAGATACGCTTCCTGAACAACTCTTTCCACCTGCTGGACCTGGAAGTCTTCCTGGATCTGATCGAATCCGCTTTAAAAAACCAATAAACGAAATTTCTAAATCCACGAAGCCAGCACTTCAATTAGATGTTAATTACCAAGCCAAGCCTGTTGATATGACTAATTTATCGCCAAACACAAGTGACGAGGATGCATCTATGGATCTTGGCTAAATACCACTACGTGTGTGATCAGATATTTTGTAATTAAATGTGCAACAATTCAAAACTTCATTTCAATAAAAGTGTGTCCTTCTTCCTTGGAGGCAAGGATATGGTTAAAACATTTGGTTATGTAGGTGACCATATATACCAAGGTGGTAGCTCCGTTCTAGAGTAATTACATAAATATGTAAACTCGAAAAGAGCAGCAAGAATTTCAATAAAACAAAGCCGATCTATTCTATTTGATCCACACTTTGATAACTGCCTGCAACACTGATTTAACAGACTTCAGTTCACTGGGAGAAACAAAGTAAAGACTATTAGTAGTTGGAATAGACAGAGATACTCAGAGCGGTTATCATTAAATTGTAATGTTTGATTGGTAAGATATAACAAATTGTCACATGGTAGAGTTGAATTTTATTTAGGAAAGCACATGATAGGAAGAATCACGTCACTAGATGAAATTAGTCTAATATAAGCGGAGGAAACGTGCAACTATATTTAAAAAACGCTGTGATATTCCTTTCAAGTGTTTGGTCTTAGGAATTCGGTGGATTTCAAGTCAGACAACAACAGTTACAGAACTAGGGATTACTAGACAGTTGCTTTGTCCTAGCTTGGGTTAAGTATTCGCCGATGGCACTGTATGGTGGTTGCGTGACTGAATGGTTAGCAAGCTTGCCTAAAACCTGAAGTTTCTAAGTTCGATCCCCGATTTGATCATAGGCGAACGACAAGAAACAAGTTTTCAAGGAAGAGAGTAGCTTACTGCAGACCTTTCTGTTACTCCTATGTATGTTATTTAACACTCATAGTTGAAGGTAATGAAGTAAGAGTTCCTGTCAATTTTTGGCTGGACTGACGAACATATTCGGTTATCAAAATTTCCAGTCACTTATGTCCTCAATCGTTTGTCGACTTCTGCTACAAACACTCAATTTTAAGTAAAACTACTGAAAAGATCAAGAGTGATGTAACATATGAATATTACCACTGTAACAACAGAAGACAAGGGCCAGGCAACAGATCGTTTATTACGAAAAATCAACACGTATTTATAGATTTTTATGTACATTATTGTAGGTCAACGTTAGTAGAAAATACAGTCTGTTGATTGGTTGTTTCTCACACAAAGTTAACCTTGCATCGCTTGTGGCTGTGTCAGTTCATCTATATGTTAACTGTATTCGCCTGTCCACTTTGACCTCAATTACTGTCAACCGATTTGGCCAGCAACCATCTCTCACCACAACATGACTAATATTTGATACATAAACATTGACCTCAATTACTGTCCACCACTTGGCTAGTAGACAGCTCTCACCACACCACCATTCATAAGTGACAATCGGATTGAATTCAACGACTTGATAAAAGCCAGCAGTTGAGATAAGCAATGCATACTGTCAAACATTCGTACATTGTCCATTTAGAAAGTTGAATCGGATGCCAGCAAACCGTGTGCAAATACAATAAAATTACTGAGCGTAGAGTGGTTATATATATATATATATATATATATATATATATTCCTAATAGAAAACACTATAAGTCGTCCACACCTAATATTAGACATGCTTCTGCTTCTGTCTTATTATTCCACATGCTCAACTTCTAACGGCAGATTTATGAGCTTCAACCGCTCTTCACCCACAGAGATCTGAGACACTAGATATTACGTGGTAGGCGTGGCTCATTGCCAACGGCCATAAAGGTGTTAGTGGTTGTTCACTAAATATGCATGAGAACTTTCTCATATGCTGAGCAGTCATCACCTTCAAGAATATAGAAATCATAGTAAATTTATATCAAAAGGTAAATTTTGGAAATTTACATAGTAGGAGATTACTTCACAAAATTTAGCATATATATATATATATATATATATATATATATATTCATTTGTATGTACATAACTATTTAACAGTTTCAGTAATCATTTAATGTACAAAAGCATTGGTCAATTCGTATATCGCGTTGGGAAAATAAGTCAGTGAATTTGAGTCACTGTCGGAAAAAAGAATTATGGTTAATCAACTCCAATGTTCGTGAGAGATTTGATGCTGAAAAATTAGCATTAGCATGAATTGGCCAAGTAGATCCATAACCAGTACGTGGGTGATAAATGGAGGTTGGATAAGAATCACGAGCAACAACAGAAGGAGAAGGTCCTCTGATATTCATTATATTATAAGGAAACGAAGGAGTATTTTGACAAGGAACCTGGATATTGTGTGTGGTCGGGTAAGCAGGCACGTTACTTGAAGAATAAACTAGATGGGGTTGAGTGGTGATTAGACCATTATCTAATTGATTCGATGACGCAATTCTTTTTCTTTCAGTGGGTGGTTCGTTAACACCTAAGAAGTCGGCAATAGCTGACAGTCTTCTTCCACTGTTAAACTGAGATGTGGGTGTCGATCCATGATCTCCTTCATTCCGCATACCACCACGTTTGAAATACCTTGGAGTTTTAATCCAACTTTGCTTTTGAGCTTCTTTACGTTCAGAGAGTTTTGAAAAGATGCTGTATGCATCGAACATTTTTTCATCATCTCTTGTACAGTTTAGTGCTTGTTGATGCATTTCATTGGATGGATCTTGGGTGTTGACGAGTGACTTGAAAGAAACATTGTTTAGCATATGTCGACTAAGTGAAGGTGTCGGAACCTGTTGATTCTCAGTGCATCCTCTCACATCTTGTGGAGAACGTGAACGACAGTGAACTGATTCATAATTTGTTGGTGCTGAAACATTATTAGCAGGAGGGTTGGGGTACGGCGTAGTCATAACTGCAGATGTACTGCTAATTGACACCGGCATACCTGGAAAATATGACAAAACACTTTGAATTATAGACACGATTTTAGACAATTTGAACACGCTTCGTTACAAATGATTCTTTTGTAAACGTGCACTGTAAAAAATACGTAATGACCTTTTACCATTGCAACACCTTTGTCGTCTGTGACGATAAAAACGGTCCCATCAAATATTATCCGTGAGCTGGGACTCCATTATACGGAATAAATATCATGAACCTGGCAACAAGAGCTACACACGGTATGTGGTTAAATAACGACTTTAAAACAGCTCCCAAAGAAGAATCGAAACATTAATATTGAAGATATTGATATTTGATTAACATCATTGGATAAAAACTACTGTGAATAGTGTAGGATATACCACAGCCATTTAAGATGTTATTGTCTTGTAGTGAGTGATAAAACTGGTTGACCGAATTGACGAGATTACCAACGAATTAACATAGATGAACTACTGTTATTAGATGGTTGGAGGCTTTGGATCTGGGTTTTGTGCTTGTTGGCACTCGTCAGTACCTAAAACCCTGAAGCAAATCATGTCCTTTCTGAAATCGAACCCGTGTCACACAGCGCTGCAGTCACAGACATTACCATTGAGCTGTTCGGACTCGCGATTGATTTACTATGGGACTGTATTAGATACTTTGATTCAACACTAGGTACTAAGTAACTGGTGTCATGCGTCTGTTCCTTTATTGGCTGTCGACATGAGTTCCTTCAAGCTTGCAGATAACCCGTGCTGACAAGTGCCAACAAGCACGACACCTAGCTCCAAGACTTACCCTCGATTGGTTCCAGCCATGTCTGACTGACTGGTTTCAATATAAAACTTTCCACTGATGTACACCAGTTCAAGTCGCCACAGTTCATGTAGCACACAAAGCAAGAGAAGAAATGTAAAATAGAGACAGTAAACAGGGATATGAGACAATAGGAATAGGAGTAACGAAGAGCAATATAGTTTTATCGGGTATTATAAGTCACAAGGAGTGGATGCATCTGCGCCAGCCGTTGGGAACGATTTAGAGCCATGTCACCGATTGTCTCCAGCCACTGGTTTTTACCGTCCCGAGGAAGTCTACACCTTCCTACCTGGCTTAAACTACCTGTTTTGGTTTTCATTGACTGATGTCATGTACTGCCAACCATGTATTAACAATTCAGAGTGCACTATGATGGCTAGCTACCAAGCATGGTGGCTACATTGCAAACTTGATTGGTAGAATTGAGCCTGAATCAAACAAAGGACTAGACGCACGACATGTGTTCAATCACACATGAATTACAACACTAAAGCATTATTTTACTTCAAACCAAAAGATCACTAATACTAAACCTGCTGTAATTAAAAGACAAAACCCTTAAAGGGCGAAACAAACCACTAAAAGTTTGTTATATCTATCTTACTCAAAATAAAAAGCTTTCGCGGAACACTTCAACAAATGAAAGTTGAGGGATTATCTTGTTTGGATAATATGACGATTAGTGTACGAGAAAAATAACCACTGGGACCCGATCTTGGGTTATCGTATTGGGTCTCAGTATATTAATGGTCAATGAGCTCACCTTGTAACCGGAGTTCGATCCCCGGTGGGTGCGTACCGACGAAGAGTCCCAAACTAGGAGGAAACAGCTGTCCAGTACTCCCACGCTTTCAAAGTGAAGTCAGCTGACGATGAAATCCCGTAACCGATCAAATCAAATCGTTGCAAACCACCACTTAAATATTCTGATTAGCTAAATCTTATTCACGTTAGCTTATTTTTGTTTAGACCTTGTTATTGATAAAATTATTTTAAATCTAAATGGTGGATTCAAGTTATGAATAACTTGCATAACTGAATTAAAATACAGAAAATAACACGAACTTACAATGCATTGTTTGTTTGGGTTCTTCTGATATTTGACTGTGCAAAGATAAGTTGAACTGATGATTTCGTCTAACAACTGTTGGTTGGTTGGAAGTGATATTTTTCTGCGGACTTTTATTACTTTGCTTTAAAGTCAGATTTACTCCATTAGGTAACTGACCAGAAGACTTTAAGGCATCGATAGCTGACAATATAACATTAAATGCACTGCTGGATAGAGCGATTCGATCATTGGTTTCACCAGCGATTTTCTTACTCTCATTTGAATTATCAGTATTATTTGGTGGTGGATAGTTGTAGTTCATGCACACAGGCGCTACTGGTCCTAATGGCGCTGTTAGAGATGGTAACATTACATTGTTTTCAGATCTGTTTAAAAATAAGGAAAGATAAAGTAATTTGAATTAGCAACAAACTGAAATTTCCAAAAACCATATTCCGACCACTATAGTGAAATGCGCGACCATGCGAATTGGACACACAAGTGTCAGTTGATACCAACTACAGGGAATAATATACCCATCAATTCAGACTTAAACGGATCTAGGTGTCACGACTTAAATAATAAAGCACACTGTCGCACGGTGTGCTTTATCTTTATCAGCAATACTCAGAGAGTTTACTGGAATCACCAGAGATATGTCTAGACTGGAAAACTGCACCCAGACAGCCAATCCTTGTCTTAAGAGGGACTCACACATTCTAGAGAGGGTTCAAAGGAAGACAACACGTATGATTTTCGGCATGACCAATTTATCATACGTTGAAAGACCAGTCAGTGTGAATGTCTTCTCCCTGTCATATCGTAAGCACAGTACAGACTTCATTACAATGTTTAAAATTTTAAATAATGACTACGGACCTGATCTATCACCTCTTTCCCTTCCCATCAGGTCATAACACTTCAGAAGACACAGCAGGAGAGTTCAAAAGTCAAGGAGGAACCGTATTGCTGCGGATTACCACCTCTCACACCGAGTCATACACTTCTGGAACCGGCTCCCAGAAAAAGTGGTTTCAGCGTCCTCAACTGACTCATTCAAGAAGGCTTTGGAGAAGCGCAGTAATTTATCAGAAAAGGAATAACATATGTTCTAAGCCTTTTACCCTCAATCAATATATCTGAATCTGACAAATCACAAGCAACACTACCAGCTGTTTATGTCACCCGCGGGCACACGAAATAACGTCCATCGATAGGCTATGGTAATGGATAGGGGCACATATCAGTTGATTGGTGCAGAAGGCAGCTGTTATTGCATTTGGGTAACAACTAGTGGTGTCCGTCAGGGATACACACTATCCCCGTTTCTATTCAATTTCATCATAGATGCCCTGATGGCCTTAACCCTAACTGACTTCAGCGACTCAGGGATTGACTTGTTACCAAGGAATAATCTCGTTGACTTAGAATATGCAGATGGTATTGTCCTCCTAGGTGAAGACGCCGACAAAATTCAGAGTCTTTTGAACACTTTGAGTAGCAATCTTCGAATGTTTGGCATGCGATTTCCTCCTGTCTAATGTGAGGTGATGCTACAGGAGTGAACTACATTGACTCCTAGCTTAGAAATGGGGAGTGAAGTGGTAAAGCGCGTTGACCGCTTCACTTGTTTTGGAAGATGAATAAATCCCAACGGGTTGATCGCTAACGAAATCTTAGTACGGATATAGAAGGCTCGTTTCGCATATGCCAGTTTACGACATCTCTGGGTAGATGCGATATCCGGCTATCGACCGAGAGGCGTGTGTAATGCGCTGCAGTTCGCTCCGTCCTCCTATATGACTGAGACATGACCATTGAAAGTAGAAGATATCAAAAGACTAGCTGTCTTTGATCATAAGTGCCTGCGTTCTATCTCCCGTGTGAAGTGGTGTAATAGAGTGAGCAATATTAAGGTTAGGCGTCGAGTGCTAGGTAAGTAGAAGAAATCAATCGACAAGGCTGTGCAGCTACATCGACTGAGATGGTTAGGACATATGTTAAGCATGCCTAGCCATCGCCTTCCTCCACGGGAAATGTTAACTGACATAGGATTAGATTGGAAAAGAGCTAGTGGTGGTCAAACCAAAACATGGCTTCATCAGTCAATGAAATCCAAAACAGGTAGTTTAAGCCAGGTAGGAAGGTGTAGACTTCCTCGGGACGGTAAAAACCAGTGGCTGGAGACAATCGGTGACATGGCTCTAAATCGTTCCCAACGGCTGGCGCAGATGCATCCACTCCTTGTGACTTATAATACCCGACAAAACTATATTGCTCTTCGTTACTCCTATTCCTATTGTCTCATATCCCTGTTTACTGTCTCTATTTTACATTTCTTCTCTTGCTTTGTGTGCTACATGAACTGTGGCGACTTTAACTGCTGCACATCGGACAGACAGAAAAAATTTACTAATTGATAAGAAGGAAATTTCATACACAAAGGGTCAAAGTGCAAGTCAAGGAAACAATCAGTTCTAATGCGAGTAACCTAGAGGATGCGAAAACATACAAAAATAATCACGCTCAAGGTCACTAGGACAGTTGACTAATAAACTCGTGGAGAAATTCAAAGGATTACTTCAAATTGAAGTATGCGCTGAAGATGTTGCCTAGTAGGCCAATGAAAGCTTCGCAAATTAACTATCCAACTCAGAGAACACGACTACATCAAAATCACCCACATGAGGTACAAATCTCCATCATGTCTAAACTGACAAGTTGCAGTGCATCAGGAATGTTAAATTTCACTGTAAACTGTTAATTATGATAAGAAACATGAAATAATTTAGGTAAGTGGAACATGTTTTCCCAGATGACGAAGAGCGTATTGAAAATGAGGATTATGAAAATTTCATCATAGTTACAAGATTTTACAACCAGAAGGGAATATGAGTTGACTGATTGGTAAGATACCAGTGCAGAAACAACCTTTCAAGTTAAAGGTACTGTGTTTCGTAGCACTTATTTAATGATAATCATCTTGTAACAGATCTTTCACTGTTTTCATTTTTTATGTTACGATCGTAACTTTCGCAATCGTTCAGCTTCTTTAAAAGCTTTCATGAGGATATGCTTGTGTATTGGTGGAATATTTGTGATATTATAAATGCATTTCCCGAAAGTTAACACACCATTCTTGCATTAGTAATACATCTTGTTTGTCGAAAAAATAGTGATAAGGTGATTAATTATGTGAATTTAGGAGACATGATATGCATAAAGTGTAAAATCAACAATTGATTGAAGTTGGGTTAAGTGAAGTGCTACTACTATATTCAGTTAAAATTCTACTTCGTAGACGAGAGAAACAGTAACATTTCTTATCTAATTACATGCATTGTTCCACGCAGTTTTTACATGCACCTGACAATATACCTGCTCCATTGCGACGATTTTGAAACATGTCGCTAAATGTGTCCAATTACTAGTGTATGCTACAATACGACAATCAAAGGTTAGGCAAATCGATACTCAAGTACAAAAACGCAATGCAAACCCCTAGGACCGGAAAACGGTAACCTCTTGATATCTCCCATCTCCAATGGTCACGCCCCAGCCATTAAGGACAGTATGAACTCCAGTGCAGTACATGCATCATTTGACAAATAACTGAATATCACGTCCACGTCAGAAATAACGTAAGTTGGCAAGTGCCACACGAACCTCTGGTATCTGAGTCAAGATTTTATTAGGACTGATGCAGCTTCCCAAATAAGTGAAGTGGTCAATACGCTCAATCACTTTGCTTCCTATCCTTAAAATAGCAGTCAATGAGAACCAGTTCTCCAGACATCATCTTACATTCGATAGCTGTGAATCGCATGCCAAATATGTCAAGATTTCTGCCTATGGTGTTCAGAGGACTGTATTTTGTTAGCATCTTTACCTAGAAAGCCTAATTCATCTGCAACGCTCGAAAAAGACGAGACTGTACCCCGGTAGCAGGTCATCCCGTAAGTCTTTAAAGCCAATCAGTCACATCCATTAGTATAACTATGATGAAATTAAACAAAAGTGGAGACTCTGGGTATACCTGATGGAAACCACTAGTTGTCTTTACTTTAGATGACTACTCTCCATAAGCTCTTACACAGCGTAAGTCCGAGTAGTCTTGATTGCCAATATTTAAGTACAGATTAAGTAGTACTTAGAGTTAAAACTCGATAAATGAGGGCTGAGTTGGGTGTCTACACCAACGCGTCAAAAAGTAGTAGCTTTAAATAAATTTACTAATGGTACTCTCGTTGAAAACTACTGACTGATATCTTCATTGTTAATTAGTCGGCTGGTTTACATCTTAGTTGCAGACAGTAAGAAATAGAAAAACTGATTTACGTCATTACTTACCTAGATTTATCGTAATAATGATAAAAAGAGGAATTGTGTATAAATACATGCTGGTGAACTGTGAAATTCTCTGGATTTGGTAATTTAGCAGCTTTTATTCTGGCTGCAGCAGATACGTCAGCAGCTGTCTGTCGTATATTTTCTTCATGTTTGCATTTTGAAATCTTCAATTTCTCCAAGACCCAATCAACTTCCTTTGTGAATTGATCTGTGTAAACGGAGTCCTTTCGCACTTTACAGTTTGACCTCTTTGCCTTTAGTCGCAACAAACCTTTCTCCTCTAAATCCATGCTGATAAAGTAAACAACATGAAATTATTATGAAGATGAACTGACTAACGATGCATATATAGAGCTCGACAGATATGTTAGAGAAAATAAAGGTGGATTGGACACACTGAGAGGACCGTTAAGTGATATCACGCGCCAGGTCCCCAAAGAGACCCCGATTGGGAAGGTTTAGTTGGGCGTTCAAGGGTGACATGTTGGGATGGTGTGAGGAGGAAACGAAAGCTTGTTGTATATCATGCAATCAGCTAAGAAAGAATGCGGAGAACAGGGTGAAGTGCTGTCGAAGCTCTATGTTCCACTCGGAACCCAAGGGAGTAAAATATATATATATATATATATATATACATAAATCCTCGACCTTCAATCAGTTAAAATATAGCTGCAGATATCTTCTTAGTATTAATACTACTAACCTCATACATGAATGAAATTAATGCTTACCAAGTAACAATGGGAACCTTATTTTTTGTTTACATTGACGAATAAATAAAAACTACAGCATAAAATCCTGAAACAAATCACCTAACGCTGAAAGTCTGTAACTTCAATAGTTTTGCTAAAATGTGTAAATGTAGGGCACACTTGTCAATCTGCTATGAGATCTACTGTGAGCGAACGACAGGAAATGGCTGAAGGGCGGAATTACTATGCAAATGGTTTGGAGGTGTTTAGTTGCATGTGTGGGTATGATGAAGGCTTTCATTTCTTGAAACACCGACTTCGATAGTTTGAACAGCTATTATGCAACTCCCCGCCCATACAGTTCATTTCTACGAAGGCGACTGAAGTAATAAACTACAGACAAGCATGTTGGTTTGGTATTTGCTTATTAGCTGAAACTTACAGAGCGTCAACCAAAACCCTCGTTATCTAGTGGCACGATATGATAGCGAATCTAACTTGGGGACTAAAACCGCGTCAGCCATGCTAAAATGCAATGCATGTAGTCACCAGAACGAAAAACTATGAAAAGCTCCCCAATAAAAAAACCGGCTTCGATTTTTTTAATTACTCCGCTAATTTTGCCTTCAACTTTTTTGTGATTTTGTTGTATGTGTACACTCACGTATTACCGAACATGTTAAGTTATTAAAGTAATACAAGCACAGGATTCATACTTAATTGAGTAGTGTCCTCACATTTCTATACTGTCTTATGAATTCCCTAAATGTCCAAGTCTTTGAGAAATCACCAGCTGGATAAAACCTTAAACAGGCATTTTCCTCCCTCTGGACGCCCCTTAGTCTACCCAAGAGTATTGAACCTGAAATTTTGGATACTATGTTAATCAAGCTGGTCGCACTATGATTATCACAGAGAGACTTGTCTTCCTTCTTGTGACCTGTGATAATCATCGATTTACCTCAGTCCAGCGGGGCTATCTCAGTCGCCTACGCGTCACTTAATATCGTGGTTACTCCAATCAATAGTTCATTACCATCCTCATACACCTCTGGCTTCATACCACGTGCTACTGCATTACCTTATTTCAGACTAGAGGTAGCTATTGCAATCTCTGTTACAGTTTGACAACCATCCTTTACATCCCATTCAAGTGGGTATGGGATGCTGTGTAAATTTAGTGTATCTGTTGGTCAGTTGAATTGCTCCAAGTGTTTCTTTCAATGTTCCAGTCGTCTATCCCGGAAAGTGATTTAAGTGCGGTTCTCAGAAATCACTTTTCTTACCACTGGATTTTACAACCGGTATCTATGATGAGTTTAAAAAGATGTCCGGTATCACTTGGCCGGATACCTTTCTCACTTTGCTGTTAATGCCCAACACCGTTCTATGTCTTTCCGAGGGCATGTACTGAGCTCGCATTTAAGCAGCAGCTTCCTGTGTCTGTCAGTTCGGATGAAGCAGCAGAAATCCATCGGCATATACTGACCTTTGTCTTCAGGTTACTAACAACCTCTACTACTGTTTCCACAGATGACTGGATATGACGCACAATTTCTTCAAGACGGGTATTTCTGTCATACTCAGACACCCTTTTAGTCATATCTTCGTTAAATAGAGGCTGTGTGTTGTCATCACAATCCACTTTAAGCATACCACGTGTGACCAGTCCTAAGTAAAAGTCTCCAGGATTCTGCAGTCACGCAACACTACTTCTGCACTTATTTCAGATACTCCAGGAAGATAGAAACACCTACGCTGTGGACAACTGTGTAATAACAACCGCCCAAATACTTAAAATATTACTCCAAACTTTTTGATAAGAACTATAACTATCACCACTTTCTTTTTATCCTACCCCTGCTAATACTACTCTACACGAAAATTCTCCAACTCTTAGCTCTACAACTATTAAACAGTGACCTGACGTGGAAAGTCACTAAAAAGTCTCTTAAAATCTCGTTGTCAGAGCATTCGACATGTAATCATTTTAGCAGCTGATCTTCTTGATCAAGTTAGGAAGTTGTACAAACCAGAAAAGTATATCGGTGAAACCTATCGAATCCTATGCGAGTTTACAACGGTGGTATTTCGCATTTTTGGTCACAGAATCATCTAGGCTTCGCCAACACTAGTTTCAAGGATTGCCTAATCTGGATATCTGTCAATAAATCAACGATTGATGTAAGTCAATCATGTCACGATTACCTATTCTAGAAAATGTCCATAGAAGACTACCGCGCCTTTTGGAACACCTACGTAGGCTACTGCCTCACATTAGTCCGTGCACGTATACGTCCACGACTGAACAGATATAGAATATGGGTAGCCACAAAACCTCTGCGCCTCCCGACTTCATGATGACAACACACAGCCTCTATTTAACGAAGATATGACTAAAAGGGTGTCTGAGTATGACAGAAATACCCGTCTTGAAGAAGTTGTGCGTCATATCCAGTCATCCGTTGAAACGGTAGTAGAGGTTGTTAGTAACCTGAAGACAAAGGTCAGTATATGCCGATGGATTTCTGCTGCTTCATCCGAACTGACAGACACAAGAGGCTGCTGCTCAAATGCAAGCTCAGTAGGCGCCTTTGAAATGACTTAAATGCAGTGTTAGGCAATTGAGTTATATATGCATTGAGTTTCAGTTTATAACTTGTACTAACTTATACAAAAATGAGACACTTATTGTACTTAAAAAACATTTGTTTTTAGTAAAGATTCAGACTAACTTGAACTGGAATATGATGTAATAATAATCATTATCAGTTAATGAGAATAGTTTGATAAGAGAAGGCAATCAGCAAAGTGATGATGCGCCTCCTATGAGTGTTTTTTATTAGAAGTTATAAAACTTCACTTTTCATGGTTAGCTTCGACACAATCGATAAACTGAATTTCAACATACATGTATTTTTCGCAATCATCATCCGTGATAGTTGTTTCATCCGTAGATTCACCATCAAGCCGTTCAACTTTGTTTTTGGATGCCATAACATTCATAACGAATTGAGATTTAATGTTGAGTTTTTTTGTATCATCATTTGTATCATTATTTCTCTTTTTATCAATAGACTTCAAGATAACATTATAACGAGTATAGAAACTTGAATTGGAATCTGGAGAGCCTACCGCTATAGGAATAAAAATAAAAAAGAATAGCGAAACTGAGAAAACTACCTTCTTCACTAACTGCTGTTTCTTCATCAGAAGAATCCTCTCTTATCTCGCCTTCTTCAAGATCAGCTGAAACTGAAGTATCACACACGGATTGATCACCTACGGAATGAGGCTAAAGAAAGTGAAGTAAAAAGTAGCTTTACTGAAAAGACCTATAATTCTTACTGATCTAGAAAGTTTTTTTTCTTTTAAAAGACGTGCCTCACTGTGTTCTTGTATCAGGTGTATAATTTCACTTTGAAGATCGAGATCTGCGAAAACAGTTAATACTAATGAAACTTACCAGTTACAGAGTGCTGTTTGATAATAAGACGTTTTCTACCTTCAAAATCCTCAATCTTACGAGCATATACTTCCAGTCTACATGCTTGAAGTGATCTATCACTATAATCACGATCAGTAATCCTAAACAGAGGTAAATAATATGTATTCTGTAAAATCTCCAGGACATATTTTTAACGGACTTACAAGATATGTTTTTCTGTGGACGACACTGCACAAGTGGCCAATCACCGATTTCCGTGGTAACCACCGGTTACAAAGACTACACATGTACAGACATTCGTCTAATTCCTGGACCTGGTACTCAATCAAATAGTTGAGACCAATTAACGGTTGTGTACACACATCCAGCAAAGGTTGTATTTTAGCTGAGACTTTAACTGGTGCCTTACGCTTGCCCTTCAACAAAGAACGGTCACCTAAAAGTGTATAATAAAAGTAAAAACAACAATAAAATTCATTTACTTAGAAAACACTGAGTCAAAATTGGTATTGTGATTATAGTCATGTATACATGATCAACAAATTTATGAAACTAAACATATTTGGCTGGAAAATGCACTAATCTATTTTCATTATTTTATAATGATGATGGTATAAAACTAATCAAAAGTTAGTTACAAGGGTGGAAAAGGAGGATAAAACTCCATAAGAATGATAAAATGAAAAATATATATACCTCTAATTTTATCAACCCTTTCTTAACAAAAATCTATCCATTTACTCAAAGAGACAGACAGTGAACGAAGTAATCCTATGTATACAATAGGTGAAATCGTAGTTGTTTGTGGCTTACAGGAACATGTACATATCTTCTATCTTTCACTTCTTTACAGTAAATACGCCTTATGAAGTTTTGCAGGGTTTTGGTAAGCAATAATCTCTTAACCGTTTGAAGATACACACCAGTGACAATTAATTATTTCTTATGTGACTTTTTCAGTTAACTAAACGTGTGACTTGTAAGTATTACTTGGACTGTATGTACACTTGATGCACATAACTGCACAAGTTTCCGAATGAAATATTTTGTTTGAGCAGTATGAACTTAGGTATGAAAGACTAATAACGGAATCAAAAAGAAATCTACTTGCTTAGATCAAGCATCAATTCTACACTTCTGAATAGTGTAGCACTTAGAATTTATGCACATGAGTCCACATTATCTAACAAGCTATTCAAAATGTTGTGGTAGATGTACCAACTTACTATAACAGCCCATTACAAAAGTTTCACTCCGTTACCGACCGAAAATAGCAAAATTCGAAGTCAAAACCTAGTACTTCAATTCAAAACAGATAACTGACCTTATTTTGGTGTAACATTAACAGTGTACATAAAAACCTTTACACAGGGTAACAAAACACAAGGAACAAGCTCTCCATAAATAATTTCATTAGACATACCAGTTGATTCGTAAATAGAAACATTCTCTTGATGTCGACGTCCATTAAGATGTGAACCAAGTGATTTATGGGACGGGAATTCTACTTCGCACAACTGAATAGAAAATATTTAAAAAAGAAGCAAACCATTAGCTAGAAATAATACTATATTTGATGAGCTTAACACACATAGATCCGAATTCAGAGGTAAAATAACAAGTTGGGAATTTCACACAAAGATATCTATGTATTAAGCAGTAATCACGTTCATATAGCCATACTGAAATTCCTTAATTTTGGTCACCATTACTATTTGCGTCAATAAAAACAACCATTACTGCAATTGCTCTTCCTCTCTCTCTCTCTCTCTCTCTCTCTCTATATATATATATATATATATATATATATGTTAGTTGAGCTCGATACAATACACAAAATGACCATACCAAACTTAAACACATAAAACGAGGTACACTTGTAACAACAGAAGACAAGGGCCAGGCAACAGATCGTTTATTAAGGAAAATCAACACATATTTATAGATTTTAATGTACATTATTGTAGATTATTGTTATTAGAAAATACAGTCTTTTGATTGGTTGTTTCTCACAGAAAGTTAACCTTGCATCTCTGTGTGGCTGTGTCAGATCATCCATATGCTAACTGTATCCGCCTACGCAAAGCCTTTGTTCTCATTTTCTCACCACCAATATTGGGGACATAAACATTGACGTCAATTACTGTCTACCAACTTTGGCTAGCAGCCAGCTCTCACCACACGCTTACTAGAACGAATATCATAACATGCCAGGAAGGTCATTTGGATAACAATTAAACCGAAAGCAGTTAATATCATAGGATGAGACTTTCACACCACCTTTTAGGTATGAAGACGAACAGAGATGTAAGAGTAGTTGTAACGGCGGAACAGGGTAATATTTGGTAGTAGAATTGTTAATCTGTCGAATGATGTGCAGCGATGGAGAAGTAGAGGAAACTTACATTGGAATTTCTATTTGCACAGGTTATTTAAATTCTGCTGCTTTTATCTTCCTCTCATGGTTTCTATATTGTTTCACAAAGTTATTTCATTTCTCCTCTTTGTAACTTGATTGTCACTCCGCTACTCGTTGCAGAAGACATCATACACAATATGTGGTGGTTATATTGACAATTTGTTCTAACGGAATATTATTCTCACATACTCCCACAGTTCAATACTGCATTAGGAACAGAATACTACGGATATTTGAACTTTTTAATTCATTTCGTTTAATGTTAACCAAAATCACACACTCAGTAATTGGTTAACGAATATAAACTATATATATATATATATATATATATATATATATATATATGTATATATATATATATATATATATATAACGGTTTGATCAATGGAAAATATACCTTTACCTCCATATCTTGCCTTCTAGTTGTTATAAATATACCGCTTATAAATTCATGTTGGTTGCACATGCCACGTAGTAAGGGGTTTCCCTCAGAAAGCCGATTATTCTGCCTCTCCCCTCTGGAAAGGGGGATTGAGAAACGGTACACCCCAACTTAACTCGCAGCGTTTCACAGTAGGTGGTAAGATCTGGTTACGAACGCAAATCTACACACCACTTCAAATCGAAGTATGAGCTCAGGATGTTGTCCAGAAAGCCAATGAGAGCTTTGCAACCAAATCATTCACCTCAGAAAACACGACTAGATCAAGATCATCCACCTGAGATGCAAACCTCCATAACACAACCCACTTTAAGCATACCACGTGTGACCAGTCCTAAGTAAAAGTCTCCAGGATTCTGCAGTCACGCAACACTACTTCTGCACTTATTTCAGATACTCCAGGAAGATAGAAACACCTACGCTGTGGACAACTGTGTAATAACAACCGCCCAAATACTTAAAATATTACTCCAAACTTTTTGATAAGAACTATAACTATCACCACTTTCTTTTTATCCTACCCCTGCTAATACTACTCTACACGAAAATTCTCCAACTCTTAGCTCTACAACTATTAAACAGTGACCTGACGTGGAAAGTCACTAAAAAGTCTCTTAAAATCTCGTTGTCAGAGCATTCGACATGTAATCATTTTAGCAGCTGATCTTCTTGATCAAGTTAGGAAGTTGTACAAACCAGAAAAGTATATCGGTGAAACCTATCGAATCCTATGCGAGTTTACAACGGTGGTATTTCGCATTTTTGGTCACAGAATCATCTAGGCTTCGCCAACACTAGTTTCAAGGATTGCCTAACCTGGATATCAACCGAGAGGTTCTCTGGCGATGCTTGGCTGTAAAGGGAATGCCGAGAAAATACATTGCACTGATTAAGGCACTCGACTCGTACTCATGCAGCCAGGTGAGGGCTTATGGCGAGTTGTCATCTGAAGCGGTGACGACTAGTAGCGTCCGTCAAGGATGCTAATTATCCCCATTCCTATTCAACTTCATCATAGATGTACTAATGGACTTAACCCTAACACACTTCAGCGACTCAGGGATTTACTTGCTACCAGGGAATAATCTCGTCGACTTAGAATATGCGGACGATATAGTCCTTCTAGGCGAGGACGCTGACAAAATGCAGAGTCTTCTGAACACCTTGGGCAGCAATCTTCGTATGTTTGGCATGCGATTCGCCCCTGTAAAATGTAAGATGATGCTGCAGGAATGAACTACACCGACCCCTAGATTAGAAATAGGAAGTGAAGTGGTAGAGCACGTTGACCGCTTCACTTACTTGGGAAGTACCATCAGCCCCAACGGGTTGATCTCTGGCGAAATATCAGCACGAATACAGAGGGTGAGTTTCGCATATGCCAGTTTACGCCGTCTCTGGCGTAGACGCGATATCTGACTATCCACCAAAGGGCGTGTGTACTGCTCAACAGTCCGATCCGTCCTCCTTTATGGCTGAGACCTGGCCATTGAGAGCGGAAGACATGAAAAGATTAGCTGTCTTCGATCATAGGTGTCTGCGTTCTATTTCCCGCGTGAAGTGGTATGATAAGGTGAACAATATTGAGGTTAGGCGTCGAGTGCTAGGTAAGTCGGGGAAATCAATAGATGAAACTGTGAAATTACATCGACTGAGATGGTTAGGAATGTGTTATACATGCCTCCCTAGGCATCGCCTTCCTCGACGGGCAATATTAGCTAATATAAGGTCAGGCTGGAAAAGAGCTAGCGGCGGTCAAACGAAAACATGGCACCAGTCAATGAAATCCACAACAGTCAGCTTAAGCCACGTAGGAAGATGTAGACTTCCTGGTTGGGGTCCTTGGGACGGTAAAAACCAATGGTTGGAAACAATTGGTGACATGGCTCAAAATCGTCCTCAGTGGTGCAGATGCATCCACTCCTTGTGACTTATGATTTCCAGTTAAACTGTTTTGTTCTTTGTTATTACTATACCTTTGTCTCATACCTCTGTTTACTGTCTATATTATGCATTTCTTCTACTTTCTTCTCTTGCTTTGTGTGCTACATGGAATGTGGCGACTTGAACTGCCGCACATATGTGCAAAGTTCTATGTCGAAAACCGACCGACCGGATATTTGTCAATAAATCAACGATTGATGTAAGTCAATCATGTCACGATTACCTATTCTAGAAAATGTCCATAGAAGACTACCGCGCCTTTTGGAACACCTACGTAGGCTACTGCCTCACATTAGTCCGTGCACGTATACGTCCACGACTGAACAGATATAGAATATGGGTAGCCACAAAACCTCTGCGCCTCCCGACTTCATGATGACAACACACAGCCTCTATTTAACGAAGATATGACTAAAAGGGTGTCTGAGTATGACAGAAATACCCGTCTTGAAGAAATTGTGCGTCATATCCAGTCATCTGTGGAAACAGTAGTAGAGGTTGTTAGTAACCTGAAGACAAAGGTCAGTATATGCCGATGGATTTCTGCTGCTTCATCCGAACTGACAGACACAGGAAGCTGCTGCTTAAATGCGAGCTCAGTACATGCCCTCGGAAAGACATAGAACGGTGTTGGGCATTAACAGCAAAGTGAGAAAGGTATCCGGCCAAGTGATACCGGACATCTTTTTAAACTCATCATAGATACCGGTTGTAAAATCCAGTGGTAAGAAAAGTGATTTCTGAGAACCGCACTTAAATCACTTTCCGGGATAGACGACTGGAACATTGAAAGAAACACTTGGAGCAATTCAACTGACCAACAGATACACTAAATTTACACAGCATCCCATACCCACTTGAATGGGATGTAAAGGATGGTTGTCAAACTGTAACAGAGATTGCAATAGCTACCTCTAGTCTGAAATAAGGTAATGCAGTAGCACGTGGTATGAAGCCAGAGGTGTATGAGGATGGTAATGAACTATTGATTGGAGTAACCACGATATTAAGTGACGCGTAGGCGACTGAGATAGCCCCGCTGGACTGAGGTAAATCGATGATTATCACAGGTCACAAGAAGGAAGACAAGTCTCTCTGTGATAATCATAGTGCGACCAGCTTGATTAACATAGTACGCAAAATTTCAGGTAGTTTTAGGGGCGTTTATTCAATAAAGAAAATATCTTTGTAGTAGGTCACTCATCCGGTTAGAGAATTTAAGGGGTCACCTTTCGCAGAAGACGGCTAGGTATAATCAGGATGTGCGACGTGTGCTTCAAGCAGCAGCATGGGTTCTAACTTTCAGAGAAAATTAAAACGTTCCTGAAAATATGACATAATTATATAACACATTAGTATCAGTGGGATATTACATATATGCTTACTTCTGCAACTGGTGTCTTAAGGTTATAATATGCATGATCATTACGAATTACTCAACTTACCTCACAAAAGAAGGAACCAGAAAACCCCACAACAGAATGACCATTGTTAAGATACTGAGATTTTAGCCACTTATGGTGTTTTGTCTCCCAGTTTTCCTAAAAAAGAGGAAATATTTATAACCAGCTCCAGCATGGTGGAAAAAATACCACCTAGTAAACGCGACATTCTTACCTCAGGAACAGCAAAATCAGCTTCATACATTTCACTGGATTGAAGAATTCTTTGTGTATGCATGATACCACGTAAGTGCAGTGTAAATGCACGTTCAGTACCAAAGTTTTGGTCACAAGTTGAACAGTAAGTCCAGTCGTTTTCATTATCTTCACTGGCATCTTCCTCAGAACTAATATGAGATGAGGTGTTTCTGACTTGGCAGTGGTTAAGGGATGCAGAAGTCGTATTAGAGTCTGAAAAAGTGAAATTTAAACAAGGCTATAAAATGAATGATAACTCATGTACACATCTATTTGTAGTAACTTAGACTGTACTTGTGAGGTGTTACGACTTAGAAGTAAGATATTTAACACCTTGCATTATGTTATATTATATCCAAGAGTTTAGAACTAACCGAAATATTTCATTCTTTTCTAAACCAACTATACCTTGCTAGCTGAAATACTGCACCATCAACTGCATAAGCGAAAAATCAAAATGGGTGAAAGAACCAGGTGTTTCCACACAATCGTAGGTAATATTTTTAATTCACAGAAAACTGAATGAAAACCGTACTTCGCTGACAATAATTATTTTGCTAACAAAAACATCCAAATGAACATTAGCAAGACATTTGAGCTTGAAAACGTGGTAAAGATGAGGTTCGACTATGAATTCTTTATTCAAATTATTATTACAATTATGAAGAAAGTTGGTGACGACACAGAATACTGGACCCTCCGTTACAACAGGAATGAGATCAAGTTGCAATGTCTTGAAACAGTTGATAAATGCACATAGAAATTTAAATGTTAACTATCTGGCGAAATGACAGAAAATTGTACAAATTCAATTGAGATGAATAGGTAGGCGTGGTCAATTACACGAATCATATCAAGTTAGAATTAGTTCTGCTTAGAAGTTGTCAATAAAAGCGACAATTCTCATGAGAACAGACGTGCTTAAACTCAATTCAAAAACCTTTTACTCACTAGGGTAAAGAAAATCTTACTTGTAGTATCCAGATTTGTAATAAATATACATATATATTAATAGATAAAATATATTTCATATATATATATATATATATATATATATATATATATATGAAATAAACTCACAATGAAGCGCGAATGGTGGTTTTTGACAGCTGGAATCTCCAGAAACCGAATATGCCCATTTTTCATACATGTCATTCCAGTCTATTCCCAGTCCTCGGCTTAAATTTACGAAAATCTCATACCATTGAGGATTCGTGCGTGCAATCCAACTGAGATAGTTGTTCCAAGACGCCCAGTCCCACTCTCCGGCTTCAACATAACGGTCAAAATATTCCTTCATAACAGCGTTGGGGTCAGAACAAGGGTCTAGCACAGTGGAGTTGTCATTCACAGTCATTTCTGTTCCCTTCGCGAGCTGGGATGTATAGTTATCGCACCCAGCATGTGCTAAGGATTTAACCTACAACTCTAGGGAAAATAAGTGACAACGTACTTCTTTGCCATCCAGGTTTTCGTCATCTGAACTTTCAGCGCAATTAGAATCACTCTGTTGTACAGAAGCCAAGAGATTATTAAAGTAGTTTATCATATTTTGATAGTAACGCGTGTAGTCAGCGGCAGCGGAGGCAGTGTACACAGGGTTTGAATTATCAGCACCAGTATTGGTTAGATCCTGAATTTGGTCTGGAAGAGCTTGATGGAAGACTACCTCAGGTGCTGCTAAAAATATTAGATAACATTATACTATCAAACCTTGCTGACAACAGTCATATCCAGACACCGTCATACTTCGCAATCTCTGAGCATATTTCAGGTATCTATGGTACTCTTCATTAAGTTTGTTGCACTGAATCTTATATTCTTCTGACTGTTCTCCACCATTAGCATACCATTCGCGTAATTTTGTGGAATAATGAGAGAAGTAATCAAACATTTGCTCTTCGTAATTCTTTATCTCTGCTAACTTCTCAGCGGTTAGACCATCTGTCATGTTAATTAATATTTTTTAGATGATCCGAGATTGACAAGTTATAGTCGGATGTGTATAAACATTTAAACTGTAATTTAGCCCTGATACGCACAAACACTTTGGGAAAACGGGGACTAATCACGGGACATTTTTAAACTCCCCGCAACAATCAGCCTTCTTTCAATGCTTAAATACAACTTACACACGAATAAGTAGAGTAGGCTTTAGTCTATGTTAATCTTCTCGAATAGCAGCTGTGAGCCTGTTGTCTGAGCAGTAGTTAGATGTTAGTAATGGATTAAATTTCGCACATAATTCGTTTACAGCATCCATAATTTGCTCTATCTTATTTGTTGATCAGGACCATTAATCCGTTCATTGGGTCGTTTGGTTTTGGGCTGTTATGGTTTAGAGTCACTGCAAAATCCGGTCGTGACTCGATCAACAGAAGGTGATCCGGTACACAATTCTCCTAATTCCCTATCCCTATGTTGGACGCGAACTTCGACACGAAGGGGATTCGACCGTGATTTTTGAATTTTAGGGTCGTCTTCTAGCAAATGGCTGGATCATGAAGGAAGAACTGGACAGAATACATTGGCAGGCTTTACACACAGCTTCTAAATCTGTTTAGATTATACATGGGTAGCCAGGCAGCTCAGCGTAAACTATCCCTCATTAACGCCACCATCAGATCTGTTGAAGGTGCTCAGAATGTATTGGTACTCTCTAAAGTGCCAGCTGTGCAATAGCCTAAAGTATACGAATAGGGCCAAACAGCCACCAGAACTAATGTTCTCTACCTCATCTTCATGGAGAGAGCTGGAAACAACTGGGCTTTGAGAGAAAACACAAATAATGTACGGCAATGCCGGTGGTTGTCCTCTCAGATGGGCCTTGGTGATTCTGGGGCAATTTCTACCTGTAGACTCCCCAACCCACTCACTTCACATTGGCTAAGTTACCACTAGCTGTTAAACTTCCAGTACTCTGACAGTGGGATGAAACGAAGATTAAGGTTAGCAAACATATTTACTTCTGTGAAAGCCTACCGTTTAGAGGAAGGGCTGCCTTTTGAAACTGCAAAAAAGAAGACTTGGGCCTCTGAAAGAACTGGCACTGAATTATCCTCTTGTCCATGTTAAGCAAGACACTAAGTTGCATCATCATGTGGGGAATAAAAGATGCACTGAACACAAAAATCCACTTTGATAAGGACTTTGACAGCGTTGATCGCAAAGTAATTTGGAAACGGCTGCAATATTATGGAATGCCCTAAATCTCTGACAGCACCAGTCAACATCTGTATGACAGTGACACGTCTCAACAAGGGAAAACTCACTGAGGTTTTCAAGGTGAATACATGAGTAAGACAAGGCTGCTTAACACTGCTGGTGATATATCTAATTGTTGTGTAATGGATTATGCATCAGACTGAGAGTGGGAACGAGGAAGTTAGCGTACGGTGGACCAAAAGGAGGTCTCTAGACAACTTCAATTTCTCAGAAGCTTTATGTTAAATGCCTTAGGAACCCAAAGCATAAAAGGCAAAAACCAGAAAATTGGCTGGAGAAAAAATAGAAGTGGAGATACAACTTTAAGCGAACGTGGAGAAGGTGGGGTTTATGAAGGCAAACAGCGAAAAACAACAACCAGTGCCGGTATGTATCAAAGGAACAGATTTGAAAGAGGTCACTTCTTTCACTTGTCTAAGCTGCATAGTCTAAACTACCAGTGGAACGCAGGAGGACTTCGAAACCAGAATCGGAAAGGCGAAGCTAACCTTCACCACTCCGGAATCACTTTGGAAATTTTACCCTCCCCCCCATAATCAGGGACAAAATTCGGGTTTTCAACACCAGTGTTAGGTCAATTCTTCTATATGTATTAGAAACTTGGCGCGTCACAAAAGGCATTTCTTTGTGGCAGGCGGCTTCGCTCCATGTTGAAGATCAAATGACCAGAAAGAACCAGCACCGAGAAACTCTTGGAATGTGCCAATCAAGAACCTACTGCTGAAAAAACATACCTAAGAAAACGGTGATGGATGGATGGCCAACAGGTTAGGTGGGTCAGGCTAAATAGTCAGCAAGTAGTATGGCTAGGGCTCAAGGCTAGCAGGACCGGTAACCACACGACTATCTCGGGCATTATTTCTAGTTGAAGCCAACCGGAAGCGGTTTTGAATGTGCACAAGCATCCAAAATAATTGGCTTCCCAGAAGTGAACATTGCAGTGCATAGAGTAAGGGATACCATTAACATAGGTAATTAGTTGCTCACTACTTATTCTCCAGACATTGTATCAATAATAATATCCTAGGAACATTAAAAGAAGTTCGCGACGGAGTTCGTGTTATTTTCTCGCGTGGAATTTCATTCTGTATTATCTCTGTAGGATTTGTATCCAAGGTTTTAAGTAACTTTTCAAACTTATCGTCCCCTACCATCACATATAGCACTAGTTCTGCCATCTGATTTAGCTGTTGCAGCCGATGGACAGCATCCTTACTATTTCCCACATTTCGAACAACTGTTCACCTCATTGAGTATCTGATTCCCCGTCTCTACACTATAACTGTTTATTTGACATAAAACCAAATAACCAGGGGCCACATAGCCTCAGTATGACAGCTTCCTAAATGCATTATACAAAATGCCAGTTAAACAATACAAGGGTCGGGCTTCATTATCGGCTGAAAACTTCAACAGCAGATATAAGTCTAGTATGACTAAAAAGCATGGTAATACACCCTGCCCTCATCTGACACAGAAGCTTAATATGCGCAGGTCAGATATTATTACCTCTTCACCGTCTTGTGTAATAAGTGATTTCACTAGGGATGTTTGCGATAGTACAGGATGTTAGACAGGTATTATGGATACCAACCAAGTCACACTAGATTTCAATAAAAGATCTGACACCAGCTTCTTTGATGTGGTTAAATCCTCACTACCCAAATGCCCTCTCGTAAATATCAGTCAGAAGGTTCGAGCATACATATGGCCTCACTATCATCTACACCTACTGACATCAATTCTTTTGGCTGTGTCAAAAGAAATGATGTCTCCCCTGAACGCTTTGTAACCACAGACATTGACCTAGATAATCCCTGCAATACACAGGCAGATTCGCTATCATCTAGTTTCACCCAAATGGATGCCTTAAGGCAATATACGCATCCGCCAGAGCAGCAGGTAAATTGTCGCACCGCCGCTGACATTGCCGATAAGCAACACCACTGAGAATACGTGGACATCAATCGAACGTCAATTTAGGAGAAGCAAATGGCTTATCATCTGTGCAACACGCATCCATCAAAGCTAATAAATTAGAAAGTACAAACATTTTCTCATTAGTTAACAGCCTCTTACCTCTTAGGTATCTGATTAAGCCTGCTGATTATCTTGACTACGATACATCACAGTCTCGTGAGAGAATAACTGATCATACTTCCAAGGAAATAATCAAGCGTGTTCGATGCATGTTTGGTGCCAATGTTTTCAACGTACCCGATAGTGCCAACATTAAAACATTGAAAAACATACTTTTAAAGCCATGTGAGATACCGGATTTTTATTGTACCAGCAAATGACCTCGCAAATCCCATCTGGTAGATCCTGTCCAGTAATGTTTGAATTCAGCAGCATTGTGACAGCAAGCCGCTTTGTGGGTAACCAGCATCTCCTTAGGGGAGTTAGCGGTTTAAAAATATGCATATCATTCAGTACAGGATACCAATCTAACGTCGGGCCAACCAGAGTATCTCAGCAAGTGAAATCAGTCACCAAAAATATACTGCTAACCCCAATGATGCCGAAACACGACCCGACGCTCACCTTAAAAGAAGCTTCACATTTAGCGACACGAAAACGAAGCTTGGTACAACCACCAAAACTAAATCCAGTATTTTTGCAGTTGTTAAACAACCTGGAAAGCACTCACTTGCTGCAAAAGGTACTGATGAATATCATACCCACCCTACTAAAAGCATTGGAAACCCTTGTAATAACTTCCCATCTAACCCTAAGCTCCTAGGTAAAAGTGTAAGGAACAGAATTCCTGTGCTTGGTATGCACTCTATCAAGTCTCATTCAATATCCTCTACTACTCATGCCCTCAGATCTCCTAAAAAGACGTCCAAGGTATCAAATATAACTGAGATTAGTCAACTATTCTCCTCCCTTTATCCTAACCATTTTAATACTGGTTGCAGCTAACCAACTTTAATATGGCGCAGTGTAATACCGACTTTACTTATGCCCATGTTCTAAGCGCACAACCACATGGACTCAGTCACCTAATCTTTCAACATAGTCTGCTTGGAGATCAACCCAGTATATGCTACTAATCCGCAAACACACTCCCCCGACACTGGAACCATCTTTGCAACGCTCCAACTAGTCAATCTCCTCACCATTTTGAACTTTCCAGCTTCCGCGAATGGACAATTTTTACAATATTCAAGTTGAATACACGCACAAAAATACATGGAAAATTTCTTTAATATTACATAACAGTAACTTAGAATAGTAGTAAACATGATTGTAAAAAAGAAAGAAAAAATAGAAGAAAATTTGCACAGCAGCCCATGTTATTTCCAATACTATGTATTTTTGCTGCAGGATTATCAGCTTTATGTATTTGCATGTGTCATTGTTCATGTCATGTGTCCGTGTGAGACATTCATATGTGGTGTCGAAGCGTGATTTTAATATCTAATATCTATAAAATCATTAAATTAACGCAAGAATCTTTTCAATTTTGAGCATTTGGATATTGCTTACATGTGTGAATCATAGGATATCAGCGACAGTTGTGTGTAGCAATAGTCTTTAACATTGGAGAGTTTCATAAGGACAATATGCTCTTTGCGTGTACATAGTGTGGAGCAACTAGAAGATATAGAATAAACAAAATTGTCACGTATTTTAGGAGGTTCATAACAGTACTATAGGTTAAGTGAGCATATATATGTGCATGAGTGTCACAATTTGTCTCGCAGTGTATTACAACAGATGGTAGTACAGTAAACGTTCACAGAGTAGTTTGATATGACAATAAATTTACAACATCATTGGTTCAATCGTTTTCCACGTCTGAGTCTATGCGTTCCACGCATATAAGTATCATAGATTTTCAAAGAGCCTTTGATGGTTGAGATGCGGAGGTGCGAAATGTCGAAGGAGGTGAAAAACAGTCTGCGAAGGTATTTTGCAGAGAGTTGACGGATCATCCCTCGATAAGAGATTATAACAGGAATTTGCAAGATTCTTTGAACTGTATGTCCCATTGCAGACAGGAACCGTTGGCATGCAGCAACCATCGTTGGAGCT